TCATCCAATCCCACAGGGTTGCAAGCATGTATGCTGGCGGGAGCTTGCGAGTTTTCTTTATGGCAGCATTGATGGACTCCGCCATGCTGCTTGCAAATATACCGAAACGCACCGTGGGTGCGTGGAAGCGCGCCCAGTGCTTCTCGTCTATCTTGATGTAATGAGTACGTTTTTTTGCCCATCTCATGCCAGTGCGTACTCGGATACCAGATTCTGTCTCATCCGTATGCGGCTCGGGCTGAGCACCACCGTCAGTGCCGTCGATGTTCTCAATGCCCTGACCCTACTGCTGCTGATCCTGCTGCTGCTGCCCACCCTGGTTCTGCTGACCCTGACCCTGCTGCTGCTGCCTACCCTGATTCTGCTGCCCCTGACCCTGCTGCTGCTGCTGCCCACCCTGGTTCTGCTGCCACTGACCCTGCTGCTGCTGCCCGGCCTGGTTCTGCTGCCCCTGACCCTGTTGCTGCTGACCCTGCTGCTGCTGCCCACCCTGGTTCTTCTGACCCTGACCCTGCTGCTGCTGCTGCCTACCCTGATTCTGCTGCCCCTGACCCTGCTGCTGTTGCTGCCCGCCCTGGTTCTGCTGGCCCTGACCCTGCTGCTGCTGCCCACCCTGGCGCTGCTGCTGTCGTCCCTGCTGCTGCCGCTCAAACAACCCTGCCTGCTGCCCACCATGCTGCTGCTGCTGGCTTAACAGTCCTCCCTGTTGCCCACCCCACTGCTGCTGCTGCTCACCCTGCTGCCTACGCTGACCCTGCTGTTGTTGCCCAAACAGCCCTCCCTGCTGCCCACCCCGCTGCTGATGTTGCTGCTGTCCCTGCTGCCACTGCGTACGCTGACCCTGCTGCTGCTGGCCATGCTGCTGCAGCTGTCCATGCTGCTGCTGTCCACCCGGGACCTGCTGCTGCTGCCCCTGCTGCTGCTGCGGCCCACCTTGGCCCTGCTGCCCCTGACCCTGCCGCTGCTGCCCAAACAGCCCTCCCCACTGCCCACCCTGTTGTTGCTGGTGCTGCTGTCGCAACTGTTGTTGCTGCTGCCCATCTTGGCGCTGCTGCTGCCAAAATAGCCCTGCTTGCTGCCCACTCTGCTGCTCCTGCTGTCCGTGCCACTGATGTGAACCCTGGCCCTGCTGTTGCTGGCCTTGCTGCTGCTGCTGTCCCTGCTGCTGTTGGCCCTGCTGCTGCTGCTGCTCAGACTGCCCTGCCTGCTGCCCACTCTGCCCCGGCTGCTGCTGCTGGCCCTGCTGCTGTCGCCCCTGCTGCTGCTGCTGGCCCTGCTGCTGCTGCTGGCCCTGCTGCTGTCGCCCCTGCTGCTGCTGCTGGCCCTGCTGCTGCTGCTGCTGCTGCTGCTGTTGCTGCTGCTGCTGCTCAGACAGCCGAGTCTGCTGCCCACTCTGCCCCGGTTGCTGCTGCTGCCCTTGCCGCCGCTGCTGCTGGCCCCGCCGCTGGAGGCGACCCTGCTGTCGGCGTGGCTGCTGTCGAACACTGCCAGCATACTGTTGCTGCTGCCGCCCAGACTGTGGCGATTGTTCCGAGGGTTCATGAGAAGCTGGCTGATTTCTGGTTGATCCCAGGCTGCCTGTTGTTGGCACACGCCTTCGTACATGTCTCGTCCCCTGACTGTTGCGTGGGAAGTCGGTGTGAACACTCGGTGTACCCAGTAGGTATGCCGCGAAGTTTGGAAACCGTTCTCTAGCCACGTTGACATAGGTCTCCCACTTCTTTTCTGACCTGCAGTCTTGGAGTTTTCTAAATAGGTCAACGGCATTTGGACCGAACCTTGTCAAGTTCTGCTCCAAGTGCCACGAACAAAAGTAGTGCGGGAGTGAGGGGAAGACTTCCTTCACAGCAGGAACAAGACCTTTGTCCCTGTCACTAATCACAGACGCATCATCCTCGCCTAACCAGTCAGGAAAGTGGCTTTTGAAGCACTAATTCTCCAAAAACCACCTCCAGCTACAAAAATTCTCACCTTCAACCAGTGCGAAGGCGAGAACAATGATGTTGTTGTTACCATCCAATGAAGTTGCGATGAGGAGCGTTGCACGTTGAGCAGAAAGCAAGAACGTTCCATCAAGGGCAACTACCGGGCGGCAACACTTTAGAGACTAAGTGGTTGCGGAAGGGGCTACAAAGAAACGTTTGAATTGATGCTGATATGTTTGCAGCCTGACAGTGGCACCGGGATCAATAAGCTTAAGTTTAAGGGAAGGAATGAACCTGAAGGAGTCTCTCCAACTGCCAAACCGTTGAGTAACGATCTTCTCCTTCAATCTGTTTAGTGGACGGGGATGGATCGAGAAGGGTTGAAACTGACCTGCATTCAAACCATGGCTATCAAGGTATGTGGGAAGTACATAGTATAATTGGTGACATTTGAAATGCCAACTCAATCTCACCTGTATGCTTGTTGATAATTGATAGAAGGCCCCCCAGTTGCCACAATCTGGTCGATGTACTCACGCGGAGCGAGAAACGGCGCCCCTCTGACAAGTGCTCCATGCAAGCGTTCGAGGAATTTTACTTTGTTCACCATAGATTTCACGTAGCGTTCCCTGTCCGGCCAGTCACAGGTGTGCACACTCGCTGGACTTAACTTCTTCACCAACCAAAAGCCCCCCATACGGCAAACACTAAAAGTGCACTCCCACGGGCATTTTTTGCCACCACGTTCTTCAGACGATTTGCACACTGCCCTAGCCCGGGTTGGCTTGCTATAACTCATAGCGAAACCAAAGCGATGCGCAAAAGCGAAATCATAAAGGACGTTGATTACGGCCTCCTTAGACGTGTATAAGTTCCCGATTTCTATGGGGGAATTGTCGTCTACGTTGCATTGCAGTTCTGGAGATGGATCAGAATCCATTGCCTCAATAGTTGCTGCAAGCATCTCCATCTGGGCATCGTGCACTGACATTGTAAAAACTGAACTATTATTCCCGCTGATAAATAACTGAACAGGTCTTGGGTATGTACGTAGCTAACTTTCTGTAGAAGTCTACGTAGACTACATACATAGAGACACGCAGCGTGAGTATGCTGGAGAAACCCTAATAGTATGAGGGGTGAGCCCGTGCCTTATTCGCCTGGCTTCCTCACATTTTAGCTTTCCGCAGGCTTCGGAAATGTTTCCACAGCATTGCTGATGTGGCATTGCCTTCTCTGCTCGGGAAATGGTCACGATTGATGGAAATACTGTAGAGGCGAGATTCTGTTTCGGATTTTGGTTTGGGGCACTGTAGCGTGCGACTCTTTGCGACGCATGCTGAGCAGCTGCTCTTTTTTTTTTTTCAGCGCCCGTCATTTTTTGTACAGTTGAGTTTTCGCCTTTTTCCTGCGATTTCGACCTTGTCCATGGAAGTAAGGCGGTTGTCCATGAAAGTAGGGACGGAGTCCACGGGAGAAGCGAAAGGTTGATGTGGTGTCCGTGAAAGTAGGGGCTGTCCACGAAAGTATGAAAAGATTTGTGGGCACTCCGCGGCAGTAATTTTCCCCACATTTCCGCAGTTACGAAATGGTGCGTCACGTGTTCAATTTCTCAGTGTCGCAGGTAGATTTTGCCGTTTTCGGTCCAGATCAGTTCTGTGGTTAACTTACGGAATCGCAAATTTCTCGCGATTTCGGAACGCTACCTTCCACAGAAGAAACTAAGTCCCCGTTTTTCTGTCGAAGGGTCGCTCGCAGAAGCGAAGTTCGAGATGACTTTCTGCTGCGCTTCTGCCGAATTTCGTCTCTGCCGAGGAGGTCGACAACAGAAGAAATAGCCGAATTGCCTTTCTGCCGAACTTCGGCAGAGCGCAATTCTGCGCGAACAATTCCTAGCGCCACTCTACTTGAGGTCCTGCTGGAACGCATTTCCGAGAGTCGATTCTGCCGAAAGGGTCGCCTGCAGAAATGTCTTCTGCGCGATACCTCGGCAGAGGAAAACCCTTATGCGAATGGCTCCTGGTGCCCAATCCGCAGAGGGTCTTGTACACTCTTGATTCTGCCGAGACCGCTTCTACAAAAGCCCATGTCGATGTAGAAGGGATATGCAGAAAAACGATAGAACCGCTTTTCTGCCACCAATGAAAACTCCTCCTCTGCCACTTCCCGCAGAGGGTCGCCTAGTCGACAAATCTTCTCTTCGTCGATGGGCCTTTCTGCAGGGCTCATTTCCGTAGACTTTGTTGATATACCGCTTCAGGAGACTTCTGCAACCTTCGCATGATCAGTGCTATTCTCAACACGGTACTTACTGACGCGACCCACTTCCCGGTCACTCTACCGGCTTCTTCCCCAAAGAATTATAGAGGGCTATGAATTCTTGGCAGTTGCGTCGGATATGACCTGGCCGGCCACAGTGTTAGCATAGCCCCGTATTTCGCGGAGCAACTGCGTAAATATCTACGGCGTCGACCCCTTTCATTGTGGCGCGCTGGTACTGTTCTCGAGAGCGACCTCCGTCGTAGAAGTTTGTCCTCGGCTTTGTGGTCGAATCAACGGCTTTGACGAGCTGGGTGTAGTCTTGTAACCACTTCGCAGGGCGTTGCCGTTTTATCTCGTACTGCATTTCGGGCTTCAAGCCGCCCATGTACTTGTCGACCTTCTCCAACTCGTGCATCTAGCCACATCTGCCCACCAACTCCAGGAACGACGCGGTGTACTCGGATACAGATCCCAACTGCTTCCATATATGTAGAGTTCCGCATGTCTTGTTTGAGTTAGGTGTATGCTCAAATCGCTTGCGAATCTCTGCGCACTACGTTGCCCACATGTGTATGTGGGTCGCTCCGAACTACAGGTTTGCCTCGTCTTCGACACCAAAATCTTCTGACCACTCGTGTTGTCCTTCGGTGCGAGTTACCGTTAAGTCGACGATGGCTTTCCACCACAGTATGGCAACCCCTTTCAGCAGTGTTAACGCGTGGCTGATCCGCTTATGATCGTCTCTGATGTCCGCCGCATTAAAATATATATGCATGTCGAATATCAACTGCTGCACTGTCACGCCTTATTAGCTGGATCGAAAGGAGCGGGTTGTTGATATCTTATGCCGCCACTTGTCGAGTGCGGGGTTGTTGCCGTATGTCGTGCCAGATCCACTAGCGACTGTTGCTGCCCATCCGCCTCGCTTCGTGCATCGTCGCCCGGCTTCTCTGAACTCTTCTCCTGCGCTTTGCGGAGTCACTAGTTCTCGTCGCGGGGGTCATTGACGACGCTTGTCAGATTCTTCAATTGCTACATTAATGCTTGCAGGTCCACAGTTTCCCGGGCAGGGTTCGCAGTACTCGAGGTGGACTGTCCCTCAACTGTCGAATATACCAGGGCCATGGCCGTAAGGACGTGGCAGAAGCTAGCGCACACGCTATAATTGCTGGCGTAAAAATATTTACGACCCAAGGCGATGGCAGTGAAGCTGTGCTAATCCCCGCTGACCACCCTTAAAGCGAGTGGTCAAAATAGTGAAGGCGGGTCCAATTTGAAAGGGCCCAGATGTCCGTTTTTGCGACTAAGGGACAAAACTGTGACGGGGCAGAGGGTACACTGTCAAGAAATGCGAGCAAGGGAAATTGGGCGAGAATACGCAGTTACCTGATTGGTTGGCGGGGAAAACATGACATACGGTGGGGAAAAAGGCTCGGGAAAAATCGCAAGCAGCGCGCCACCTGTCGCCCAGCCCGCACTGCCTGTAAGCTGCACCAAGTGGGCCCAACTTGAATTTCAAGTTGGACCCAGGTTCACTACTTCGGGAAAACCGAGGATGGGCCCCGATTGGTTGAAATGCTAACTACGCAAAATATGCGGTCGTAAAATCTGTCGCCAGTGCGAAATATCGCAACCGCAATTTGATTTCGAGGCCTACGACGTGGTAAAGAGCGCCGGCTACTGCCCGCCCCTCGAATAACATATTCACTGCTGGATCGTTTCTAGTTGGGCCCAACTAGAAAGAGGGGTCACTATTTTAGTCTCTCGCTTTAACTAACGTGCTAGGGCGATAACCTGGGGACATGGTTAGGTTCAGCAATGTGGCGACAGTGCCGGACGCTACTCGGGAAGGGTTGGGCCGACAAATGAGGCAGAACGTGACAAATTGAGGAGTTCGGGTGTGTGTGCAAGCGTATGACTCAGTAAGGAATTGAAATCCCTTAGGCGTGTAACATTTTTCTGAACACGAATCGCAATGAAAATACGACCGTAACCGTTTCGCCAGTCCCGCCAGGAATTCGCGGAAAATCTTACAGCAGAGATTACAACAGTTCCTGGAATTTGGCTCTACCTGCCAATGTTCCGCACATGTTTGATTTGCAGTTCTCTATTTGTTCTACTTTCGCGAAATTTCGCGAATGCCGCTGTGCGAGCCGAGGGTCGACAAAAAAGGCATGTTTGAAAAAATGTTACACGCCCTTACAATTCCCCTGCTCCTCGCAACGCACGCCAGCCACCCGAGGAGGTTGGCCCCCCATTCCATTTGAACCTCTCCACACGTTTCCATTCAATGCAGCTGTGCGTCGGTTCGTGCTGGCACCACCAGTGCATTGCTCCGCCCTGTGGTTGGGTGGCCACTATCCACGTCATATGAAACAGTACGCTCCACAATTGCTGGAACGGACTGGTTCAAGCCCTCTCCGACACTGATCGGAATCTTATTTCCGAGAAAATGACTGGCTGAAGATTCTCGAACTCGGTGCCAGCGTCAGCTTTGGGCAACTGTTGCTTGCAACCACATTTCCGTTTACATGCCACGTCGGCTGGGTCATAGCTGCGGCCCGCTGATTCGAATCGCAGAGGCGCTGACTGTGCTTCCTGGGCGCTGCGCGTTGCTTGGAGCAGGTGAGAACAGGGATCGAGCCGCACCTTATCCTGAACATTTCCGTTTCCCACAACAGAGCCAATTGACGTCCCACAAGCTCTCATCTGACCTGTGATTTGCGGTCGAGGTTGTCATTCGAGGTTGCCTGGGGGAGGCCAGTGGAGCCGCAGCTGGAGAATTCCCATCTTGGGGGTAATGACACGAGGAAACCAGGAGAGATTTTCCCAGCGAGGAGTGCACCAGTGCGCACCAACAACCCACTGAGCGTCCAGGAGGTGATCAGCATTGAGCAAACACCAGAAACGGGAAACCTGCCGTTGGCCAGCGCGCATGTCTATAAAACTCAGCTCTTCATTGCCTCTCCTCAAGTCACGTGCCTCGTTCAGATTTTTCTCCTTGATTGCTCACTCTCAGTCGCGGCCAGGAAAGATTGGAAATCTTGCCCACTGTTACGTACTAGTTCATCCACCCCACTCCAATCTGGGCGCAAACAGCATAGTTATCAAACGGAAAGCAAGACGACGTAGGTCTGGTTTCTCGCGTCAAAAATCACCCTTCAAGGCTCGTTTCTATCCCTAATTTCGAACCTCTCCTAGATTACAACACGAAGCAATGGCTGCTGCAGCGCTTGCTCGTTCTTCTATCCTGACATCAGTGAGTTCAGTCAATGTGTTATCGTCGCACGCCGTCACAAGCAAACAACGGACCCCAGCTCCCCGATTATGGCTCTCAAAACCGACTCGCTCTCTACCAATCCGCTGCGAGGCCCCAGCCACGATGACGGAACGCGAGCTAAACCGGCAACTGAAAGTCGCGCCGTCATCCCTCGAATACAACGACCGGATGAAGCGGCAGATGGCCAATCCGTACGAGTACCACCACGAGCTTGGCATCTACTACACCCGCGTGCACCCTAAGATCATCGTCGGCTCGCAGCCGCAAACACCGGACGACATCGACCGGCTTCAGCGCGACGAGGGTGTGCAGGTGATTCTTAACCTCCAGCAGGACCACGACATGGCCTATTGGAATGTGGACATCGGCGCCATCATCAAGCGGTGCAGGGAACGCCACGTGGAGCATCACCGCCGGCCAGCCGTTGATTTCGACCCCAATTCGCTCCGCCATGAGCTACCTCGTATGGTCGCAGTGATTGCGAAAGCCGTCGCGGAAGGGAAAACTGTCTACGTTCACTGTACCGCGGGTCTCGGCCGGTCTCCAGCAGCCGTGATAGCGTATCTGTTCTGGTTCGCCGAGCCTCGCGTGGACCTGAACGCCGCGTACGACCACGTTACATCTCTCCGCCCGTGCGGTCCCAAGAAGGATGCAATTCGTGGCGCAACTTATGACCTGGCGAAGAACAGCCCCTACCAGCCGCAATTCGAGCATCTTCCGGACTTCGCGTTCACTGACGTGGCGCAGTGGGAGCGAGACCTTATCCGTCAGCGCGTATGGGCTCTAGCTTAGTGGACTCCATACTATCAGCGGTTGCAAGTGGAGACGGTTGAAAGGTCCCAGCCTCGTTTCTGTACATTCACAGCAACGCAGCAGCAGTGTCCCGTTTTATCACCCCACTGCGGGTGGTTCTAGAGCCTCAGCGGCAACACAGGAGGGCTTGGGCTTGCGGAGATTTGCCGCCATAGTATCGTGGCTGGCAGTCTGCAGGTTCTCCCAGTACTGGCTTCTGACATACACTAATTCTTGCTGTACATTCGCCCATTCGTTCATTCATTAGTTGATTGGTATATTCTTTCCAAATCACGGTAGCAAGCACCAACGAAGAGCACAATACGAACTAACATCCAGAACGGCAATAATAACAAGCACGCCCATAGCACAATAACCCCGTCTGGCCTGCTCGTCCAATGCAAAGCTGCACCAATTCCGCTCAGCGTTCCCCTCGTCTTCAGCCCTTCAAAGCCCTTCAACGCAATACTTCCCCCCTGTATTCTCCCTGTTGTCCTTCAAAATTATGGTGTCGTATGCAGCACTCAGGAGCTAGATACGGCTCGCGTCAATGAAATCCACAGCATCGTCCCCCACGACACGAGCATAATGAGGCTTGCCAGCGGGAACCTCGATACAGTCCCCTGCCTCTAGAATCACGTCTGTGCCGTCCATGCGGAATAAGAAGCGCCCCGAGAGGATGCTGTCTTTCTTGTGCACGCCGTGCGTGTGCTCCGGGAACTCCGTGCCAGGCGGGAAGGCATAGCGGGTAACTCTGTAACCCTCCGCCTGGAGCCGCTCCCGCATAGCACGCTCCGAGAGCTGCCCGTACTTGGCTGCATCCCACTTCTCGGGCCGAAGCGCGCACGTTACTCTAGATCTCGACGACGCATAGACTTCGGCGAAACGCTGGGGTGCACGGAAAAGTGGAAGCGCCCCCTGCGGGATTCCCAAGGCTGCCATGGGAGAGAACGAGTGGGGAACACAGTAGTGTGGGTGGTGGGGGAAGGTAGGTGGTTGATTTGGTGAGTGCTGGCAGTCGAGCCTGCCTTAGGGCGTGTCCAACGCGTACGTTTGATTGCGGTTGGGTAAGGTGTCTCACGGTTCGGAAGAATCGATAACGACGTGCGTGCTAGATACACCCTTATGAACAGCCCCACATACCTCGTGGCATTCATTCTGGACAAATTGACACACCGGTATAAAACAATTTCAAGGAAAAGCTAATTATCATAAATGTATGAAGGGTCTTGTTTACAGAAAACAAAAACAGGGAAGATACACGAGGCAAGTATGTGGGGACCTAACAATCCATCAATTTTATGTTAAAACGATCTAATCAACCAGTGATCATGGTGCCTGCACCCTCGTCTGTGAGCACCTCGAGCAGTAGCGAATGTGGCTTGCGACCATCAATAATGGCGGTGGAATGCACGCCCTGAGCGAGAGACCGGATGCAGCACTCCACCTTGGGGATCATGCCGCCCTTTACAATGCCGTCGGATATCAGCTTGCGAATGCCCTTGATGTCCACCTCCTTCACAAGACTGCACAGAACATTGGGGGCAGCAGCAGAACGAGGCTTAGATGAGAGGTCAGCAACGAGATATCAAGCAGAAAAAGTACCGATGCATTCATCAGGTCCAATCAGACCAAGTGCAAATGGAAAGGTTTGAAGAGCGATATGTGTGGGAACAGACCATGTGTGTCAATGGGCGTCTTAGCTGCTGGATTCAAGCCTATTTACCCTTGTCATTGCGCCCTTGCCTCCTGGAAAATCACTCATGTCAAGCTGCCCTTAGTTTTGGAACCTTCCAGATAGGGAACTTGACATTGTTCGTATCCCAACATCCATCGCTGCCAATATGGTTCGCATACCAACAATGTCAAGTTGCCTACCCGACAAGGTCTTGAAAACTCATGCTCCCAGTGGCGCTGATACGACTACCCTCCACTCCACTCACCAACGAATGCCCATCAGCATGTACTAAGAGGTTTGATAGTTTAACTTACACGCAAGGAATGTGCATGAACCGTTAAAGCCTGGATTTTGAAAACCTGGATTCTCACAACCCATCTCTCACAAACCCATCTCTCATGCCACCATCTCCCATGTTCTCATCCCCCCCATGGTCTCACATCTCCCAGCACGTCAGTGGAAATTTCACTTGTGCGGGGCATAGCCTTGCCTCTCACGGCATCACCTTCAGAACCCAATCTCTGACGGTCTCACCTGTCCACGTCCTTGGGGTCGATCATCACGCCCGGCACGTCCGTCATCAGAATGAGCTTCTCCGCTCCCAGCGACGCCGCGATCTCCCCCGCCGCCGTGTCCGCATTCACGTTATAAGCCTGCCCGGTCGAATCCGCCGCCACCGTCGCAATAACGGGGATAATGCCGTCGCGAACCAGCCCTTTGACGACAGTGGTGTCGACATTCGCGATGTCGCCGACGAAGCCCAGATCTTCGCTAGCCTGTCGCGCGGTGATCATGCGACCGTCCTTTCCGCACATTCCGACGGCAGTGCCACCGGCTCGATTAATAAGTGACACAAGCGATTTATTCACCTTCCCTACAAGCACCATCTCGACCACCTCCATAGTAGGCCCATCAGTCACCCGCAGTCCGTTCTTAAAATTCGGCTCAATGCCTATCCGCGTCAGCCACGTGTTAATCTCCGGGCCGCCACCGTGAACCAGCACGGGGCGCAGGCCGACGCAGGATAGAAGCACGAGGTCCTTAATCACGCCCTCTTTAAGAGTAGGATCCTTCATGGCCGCGCCGCCATACTTCACGACGACCGTCTTGCGTTGGAACCGCTGGATGAAGGGAAGCGCTTCGGAGAGAATATCGACGCGATCGAGGGCCGAGAACTCCTGCGCGAGCGCAGATCGGACGGTCGAGGTGCTCCTGGTGCGAGATCTGGTGGAATGTGCTGTAGCTGCGACCAGCGAGCGGTTTGAAGGGACGAATGAGCTGTGAGATGAGAGATTCGCTGCGGCTGATTTGCCGAGCAAGGCGGTGGAACCTGCAGCAGAGGCCTGCAATGCTGCTGATGCCGCCGCCATTGTCATGCTAGTCTTATTCTCCTGCAGCTGTTTACACGCACTCCCCGCTAGCGAGCCAACACAGCCACAGAAGCACGTCAGAAACCTCGAAGGCTCAGGGATACTACTCGATTGCTAGGCCCTAAACTCTCCTTCAACCCTGTGACAAGAAAATCAGGTATACCGAGGTAAAGGTCCGCCTGTATTTATTAGTCTGTTCCCAAGGCACGGAACCTCCTCGCAAGAGTGCTCCTTTCCTGCCTCCGCTTGTGCCCACAATCTTGAGACCAGACCAGGGCCAAGACAGCTCAGGGATCTCCATTCCACGTAAGCCTAAAGCTAGGCGCTCCCCGCGACTCGATTCGTCGACCTGGTCTGCGCTGCTCTAAGGTGTGCACGTGGCTATTTGAGCCGCAATGGGTACGTCAATTGCTCGTCATCGCGGCGGGTACTTCCTTCCGATTCGTCGAGATACCAGCCATTAGTGCCACGGCGGTCAAATATGCCAATCAGGTGTGCCTCAAGGAGTACTCAACAAGGGCCTATTCGATAGCACAAGAAGTCACTGTTAGAGCTTCTTGGAGGGAATTAATTACGAGCTATGCTTCTCAATTTTACATTTCAGAAATTCTTCTCACCCTTTGAATAACACTAGCCATACATCCAGCTCTTTAATGTACACCCTTCCGAATCAGGAATTAGCAACCTACTTTTTGCCGATAGCCAAAAGCTTATTAATAGCCCCGTCCTTATTGTATCGTGCAACCACCTCCTTAGCGTACTTGGGAATGTGTTGCTCCGCCCTGATGGAGTGATGGGATAATGAGAACCAAAGAGAGGGAAACACAGAAAACTGGATGAGTGAAAAACGTCGCAAAAGGTGATTCTTATCCGGAACATAAAGAGGAGTGAGTGGAGAGCCGGGATTGGAGGGGGGCAGTGGGGTATACGGGAGAAGGGAAGGGCAACCAACCACCACACCACATTTAGACTTGACTGACTTTTCCTTCACCCAAGCACGGTGCACGTGCAGGTAGTTGCGGATGGTGAGGTAGTCGAGAGACAGGGGAGGAGGGAAACTAACCACCACACCCAACACTACTGACGTGTCATAGGACCACATCTTGACTGACCTTTCCTTCCCCCACGCGCGGTGCACGTGCAGGTAGTTGCGGATGGTGTGGTAGTCGAGAGAGTATCGGGCGAACTCCAGGCCCTTGGGCCCCACCTGGGAGACACGTGGCATAGCACGCGAGAAGAAGGCGGGATGATCAATATGTATGGTAACAGTGGCATCGGACTCACCACTCACATCTATGTCAACACCAACCAGAAAATAATTTCAACACCCAGCAATCACAAGCACGCACCAGGTCCAGCAGGAAGGTAATGGCGCGGCCCACAGGCCTGGGAGCCTTGTCGTCCGCCAACCACGGCCACCCAGCAATCAACAACAAGCACGCACCAGGTCCAGCAGGAAGGCAATCACAAGCACGCACCAGGTCCAGCAGGAAGGCAATCACGTTGCCGACGAATCTGGGAGCGGGTTGGAGCTTCTCTGTTCCCACTGTTGCCTTGTCGTCCGCCTTCACCGTCTCCATCACAAACGGGCGGCGATCCCCCTGCAGGCGGGGGGGTGCGTGAAGTAAGATGATGCAGTGAAGTGGGGCGTGACTCAAGATGTGAAGCGCCTATCTCTCCCCCTGTCGTCCGCCTTCACTGTCTCCATCACAAACGGGCGGCGATCTCCCTGCCTAACGATGGCAAAAGATCAGCCGTTGCACATGTTGGATGAAAGGGAGGACAGAGGAGGGGTGAGGAGTGAGGAGGAGTGAGGAGAGAGGAGGAGTGAGGAGAGGGAGGTGTACTGGTTGGGAGTTGAGGCATGTTATCATGGTACAGGGGACAGATAGAAACAGGAGGGGGGTACGGGATGGAGCACTGCAGTGCTAGCATACACAGGCATTACCGAGGAGACGGTAGGCGTGACTTGCAGCTGCGGGCGAATCAGATCAAGCATCTCTGCCCCCCTCTCGTTCCTGACGGTGATGTACTGCAGATGGTCTGTCATGGCGACTCCAGATTGCTTGGGCACCCCCATGTACCCCACCACCATGTCCTGGGGGAGGGAAGGGAGGGGGTAGAGGGAGAGATGTTGTTCTCATGTACCCCACCACCGTGTACCCCACCACCATGTACCCCACCACCATGTACCCCACCACCATGGCCTGATGGGGGCGGGTGGCATGATGGCCTTGGGGTGATGTGTGCGTGGGGGAATGATGGGTATGGCATGTCGCTTGGGCACCCCCATGTACCCCACTACCGTGCTCTGATGGGGGCGGGGTTGAGGGACGGCGGGAGTGGGCGTGATGCGAGACTACGGTGATGGCATGCCGTCATGATTGCAAAGGGTGCTGACGAAGTGAGCGAGATGTGGGAATGATCGGAAGGGGCATGCAGGAGTGAGTGGAAAGGGCATGTGAGGCCGAGGAGGTAAGTGAGATCCCTGGGATCGTGACTTAAGTGCAACCAGAACAGCAGCAAGGGCATGTGAGGCCCAGGAGGGCACCATTGGAGGGCTGCAAGGCAGCGAGAGAGAAGGTGACGGAGGGAGAAGGTAGAACATGGGCAGCACTGGCAGGGGTGGGGTGGGGAACGAGTGACGGGCTTCCAACTTACCGCAAGGCCGTTGGTGTAGTCGAAGCAGCTGTTGGCGATGGGTGCCGAGGGCGAGGGAGAGAAGGACAGAGGGAAATGGGGGAGGGGTTGGGAAGAGGACGAATGGGGAGCAGGGGGGAGGACAGGGATGAGTGGAGCTGAAAGGTGGGTACCGGCAATTTGGGCGATGAAGAACGATTGCACACAGTTGAACACGGTTCAACACGGTTGAACAGGGTTGCAACTGTGGGATAACAGATGTAGCAAGGTCAAATCGAAGCGCTATGGTATGACCTGTAGCAGGAGGGTGCAATGACGTCCTTAAGATCCGACGCTGGCAGGCAGAAGTATGGCACCTGAGAGGAGGCGCAAAAGCAAGTGTGGAGGAGAAGGCAATGTGAAGGGCAAGATGCACGGCAAGCAGACGAGAACGGCATGAGTATAGGGACAGCAGGAGGAAGGGAGGGAATTAATAAGGGAGGCCCACAGAGTCACAGGCCACGATCATGGAGTCCTCAGCAGCACAGTTTTGAGGCGCCTCAAAACTAGAGTCACAGGCCACGACCATGCATTCCTCAGCAGCACGCAGCAAGCGACAGTGAGAGGCGTGCGGGCGAGAACTCACCTCCTCCATTCTCCCATCCAGATGCTTTATGTGCACCTGATATGCGGTGACGGGTACGGGCGGGGGGTGAGGGAGGGGGGTATGGTCGGGGAAGGGAAGGGTACGGAAGTGGGAAGGGGTTGGAGGGGTAACTCGTATGCATAGCAATATGGAGGTGCAATTCGAGTCTAAACATGATCATATCATATGGTACTCGTACATAAACTCGTAGTGCAGCACCTTATTATCCCGCATAATCTCGTAATCTAGCACCATATAATCCTGCATGAACTCATAATATACCACCTTATAATCCTGCATAAACTTATAATATATCACTTTAAGATCCTGCATAAACTCATAAAATGTCACCTTCAATTCCTGCATGAACACAAAATATGTCACTTTATGATCCAGCATGAACTCATAATATATCACCTTATAATCCTGCATGAACTCATATATATCACCTTATAATCCTACATGAACTCATAATATATCACCTTATAATCCTGCATAAACTTCTAATATATCACCTCATAATCTTACATGAACTCATAATATATGACTTTATGATCCTACATGAACTCATAATATATCACCTTAAATTCCTGCATGAACTCATAATATATCACCTTATGATCCTGCATGAACTCATGATATATCACCTTATAATCTTGCATGAACTCATATATATCACCTTATAATCCTACATGAACTCATAATATATCACCTTATAATCCTGCATAAACTCATAATATATCACCTTATAATCCTGCATGAACTCGTAGTGTAGCACAGTCTCCGGGTCGTCGCTAGCAGCTTGAAGAAACTTCTCAAGGCCCTGGCGAGGCCCGTTGTCCACTAAGGTGGGGTGAGATGGGATGGCACAAGATGGCATGGGACAGCATGGGGCATGGGGTAGCATGGACGATGAAAACATGAAAGTGTGAGCGACTGCGGTCCGCGCTTGCAGCTTGAAGGAGCTTCCCAAGCCCCGTGCGCGGCCCATTGTCCGCTGGGGTGGGGCGGGGTGGGGTGGTGTGGGGGGGGACAAGAAAACGAGAGATTGGGGAGCTGGTGGTCATGAGAGCAGAACTGGCAGATGGAGGACTGGCTAGAGGGCGGTGGGGCGGGGCAGCATTCGGACACCAAGCAGAGGGAGACAACAGAGAGAGGAGGATAGGTGGAGGGGGGAGGGAGGAGGATCGGAGGGGGACCGAGGGAGGAGGAAAGGTGGAGGGGGAAGGGAGGAGGATCGGAGGGGGGGCGAGGGAGGAGGATCGGAGGGGGGTGAGGGAGGAGGAAAGGTGGAGGGGGGAGGGAGGAGGCAAGGGCTCACCGCAGTTGGTGCCGAGCACATAGAGCTTCTCCAACCCCAGGTGCTGCTCCACCGCCCTCAATGCTGCATGGGAAGGAGGGAGGACGGAAGGAAAGGTGAAGGGGAAAGAGGGGACAAAAGGGCTCATGGCAGGCGGTGGGACAAAAGCGCTCATGGCAGGCGGTGGGACAAAAGCGCTCATGGCAGGCGGTGGGACAAAAGCGCTCATGGCAGGTGGTGGAACCAAGTACATAGAGCTTCTCCAACCCCACGTGCTGCTCCACTGCCCTCAGCGCTGCACGGGGAGAGAGGGGAGAGAGGGGAGAGAGGGGAGAGAGGGGAGAGAGGGGAGAGAGGGGAGAGAGGGGAGAGAGGGGAGAGAGGGGAGAGAGGGGAGAGAGGGGAGAGAGGGGAGAGAGGGGAGAGAGGGGAGAGAGCGGAGGGAGGGGAGAGAGGGGAGAGAGGGGAGAGAGGGGAGAGAGGGGAGGGAGGCGGCGAATGAGACAGACACTTGGGGAAACTAAAACGAGGCGAGCGCACACATGGGGTCGAGCACACATGGGCTCGAGCACACATGGGTTCGAGCACACATGGGTTCGAGCACACATGGGTTCGAGCACACATGGGTTCGAGCACACATGGGTTCGAGCACACATGGGTTCGAGCACACATGGTTTCGAGCACGCATGGGTTCGAGCACACATGGATTCGAGCACAGATGGGTTCGAGTACACATGGGTTCGAGCCCGCATGGGTTCGAGCGCACACGGGTTCGAGCACACATGGGTTCGAGCACACATGGGTTCGAGCACACATGGGTTCGAGCACACATGGTTTCGAGCACGCATGGGTTCGAGCACACATGGGTTCGAGCACACACGGGCTCGAGCAAACACGGGCTAGTGCGCACACGGGCTAGTGCGCACACGGGCTCGAGCACACACCGGCTCACATGGGCTCGAGCACACATGGGCTCGAGCACATAGAGCTTCTCCAGCCCCATGTGCTTCTCCGCTGTCCTCAGCGCTGCGAGGAAGCAGAGAAGCGGAGTGGGAGAGGCACAGAGGAATGGGAGAGGCAGAGGAATTACAGTTGGAGCACACATGGGCGCCCGCGCATGAGCCTGTACGCGAGAGGAGATCAATCTACACCGCACAGAGCACAGCACTGCACTGCACCGCACCACACTGCACAGCACCGCAGTGTACTCACCCTGCACCTGGCAGCCCACACCGCAGAAGAGAAGGCGCTTCACCCCTGCTGCCTGAACACGCAGGGAGGGGGCGGACGGGGGGGGGGGAAGTGGCAAGACGTGAACGAAACACTGACACAGTTGTTGGCGCGAGGATGGCAGGTGGTGAGGACGAGAGGGACCCTACATACGATACTAGCCAGCTCGGTTCGAACACAACACTATGTATGGGGAGGACACAACACAACACAACCACAACGGAGAATCAACCCAAGCGTTGAAACACCGCAGGACTAGAGCACAATCAACACACACTCTACAAATACCAGGTGCCTCCGAAACTGCACGTGTGTCGAGGTGGCGAGAGAGAAAGGGCTTCACCCCTTGGGTTACCCAGGTCACCCAAACCAAACAGACATTACAAAAAACAACGTGGTCACACAAACGCGGAGATCAAGGGCAACAGATTGCAACACCACAAGCCCGCGTAGCGCACCTCGACAAGAGCAAGGGTGTTGAGGTTGGGCGAGAGCGTGGGCTTCACACCTCTAGCCGCCACCACCTCCTCCACCGTCCTCGCCAGCACGGGCCGAGGGGCGAACCGATCAGATGGGTCGCTGAGAGGCAGTAAGTGGGGGGGTAGAAAAAGCCATTATGAGTCAACACGATGCGCCTCTAGCCGCCATCACCTCCTCCACCGTCCTCGCCAGCACAGGCCGCAGGGCAAAACGGTCGTTAGGGTCGCTGAGAGGCGAGGGAGGAAGAGGAAAGGGAGCATGAGCCAACACAGGCCGAGGGGCGGACGCCCCACCACCACCACCTGCTCCACTCTCCTTGCCAGCACAGCGCGAGGGGCGAAGCAGTCACCAGGGTCGCTGAAAAGTAGAGGGGGGAAGAGAAAAGGCAGGGGGGGGGATTGAGTTGGCAGAGTGTGCCTCGAAGGTTTTTATTTATTTCTTTCTTTCTTTATTTTTCTTTCTCTTTTTTTTTTCCTCTCTTGCCGTATTATACGCGGGGGACCGGCTCGTCATCCAGGTGGTCATGAATAACGCCTCCAACAACTGCGGATCTTCTTCACCAACTGCGCCGCCCACTGCCTCGACTTAATGCTGCACGACATTGGAGCAATCCGCGTCGTGCAGCGTGTCCTCGGGCAGGTGCACACTGTGGTGATGATGGTGAAGAAGTCGGCCTCCGCGGTCATATTGTTCCGCAAGGTCTTCAGCGCCTTGGAACTCATGCGCCCGGGATTTACATGTTGCGGGACGCATGTGCTGATGATCAGGCGCTTCCTCGAAGTGAAGAAGGCCCTGCGGGAGATGGCGATCAGCGATGCATGGGAGGAGGTGCCCGTTTCCCGCACGGAGGAGGAGAAAATGCGCCTCCTTTTTTGAGGCGCCTCAAAAAGGGGAAAGCCATCATGCGCCTCCTCCTGCCTCAGAGCATCTCAGCGATACCTGTGCCCGGATGTTATCCAGGCATTGTGTGCATGCACCCAACGCACAGCATCACCTCCCCACGCTCACCCTGCACGCATCTCAATGCTGCCTGCGCCCACACGACACCCATGCACCGTTCGGATGCACCCAACGCACAACCTCATCCCCCCCACCTCACCCCGCCTCACCTCACCCCGCCTCACCTCACCCCACCTCACCTCACCCCACCTCACCTCACCCCCCCTCACCTCACCCCCCCTCACCTCACCCCCCCTCACCTCACCCCCCGCTCACCTCTGCACGCAGATGACGGCGTCCACTTTCCCGGTCCTGAGCATCTCAACGGCAATGCTGGTCACCACCCCCGTCCACTGCGCTCCTGGCACGGGCGGAGAGAGAGAGGAGAGAAGGGGACACGAGGAGAAGGGGACACGAGGAGAAGGGGACACGAGGAGAAGGGGACACGAGGAGAAGGGGACACGAGGAGAAGGGGACACGAGGAGAAGGGGACACGAGGAGAAGGGGACACGAGGAGAAGGGGACACGAGGAGAAGGGGACACGAGGAGAAGGGGACACGAGGAGAAGGGGACACGAGGAGAAGGGGACACGAGGAGAAGGGGACAGGTAGGCACGGACGTCGGGGGAGGAGGGGGGAAGGGAATGCATGCGCGCACACACACAAGAGTGAGTAGCAGCGGCTGCAAGTTTAGGTGGTAATTCCACTTGCTAAACTGCGGGCTCTATTGTTTTCACCTGGCAGGGGCGGCGTGCGGCGGGCATAGAGCATCTCCTTGTGCACCCCAAAGTGGAACTCGTCCTCGTCGCCCGCCCTCCTGCCTCTACCATGCACCTGCGCCTCCATAGGCTGTGCCATCCCCGAAACAGTGAGAGAGGAGAGACGCAAGGATGGATGGATGGATGGATGGATGGATGGATGGATGGATGTATGGATGGATGGATGGATGGATGGATGGATGGATGGATGGATGGATGGATGGATGGATGGATGGATGGATGGATGGATGGATGGATGGATGGATGGATGGATGGATGGATGGATGGATGGATGGATGGATGGATGGATGGATGGATGGATGGATGGATGGATGGATGGATGGATGGACGAGAAACCGAGGCGAACAGGGCAATAAGAACAGCAGCAGGTCTTTGGTTGGCACAGCTGGGAATACGACAAGGCCAAGTACGTAGCGCACCGCATGCACCTGAATGCACCCGATCCCCTACACTCACACAACAGCACCACGGAAAAGCGAGCAGAGCACACACTACCACTCACCCGGTCGTTCCAGTGCAGTCTCCCACCAAGGCATGCCCCACTTTGAGACGTCTCTTAGCATACCGCACAGCGCACAGCGCACAGCGCACAACGCACGGCATGCTGCACGCACCTCAATGCGCCCCATGCCATCCCCCAGGAACGCACACGCGTCCTTCACATGCGCGACGTAGTACGTGTCGCACAGCCCGCACTGGCTGGGGGGGGGAGAGGTAGGGAGATAGGGTGGTGGGGAGGCAAGGGAGGAGATTTCCTTCAGATGGGCGATATAGAAGGTGTGGCACAGCGTGCACTGGCTGGGGGGTTGGTGAGCGGATGAGGTGGAGGGCGGAACGGGTGGCACGAGTAGATAAAAGGGTGCGAGATTGGAGTTGCGGGTCGGGCCCCAAAACAAAAGAGACGGACTGAAAGGACAGGGGAAGCCTGGTGCGAGTCGGGGCGTTCACTGGACGGCTCATGCTGCTACTCTACACTTGCTTCGCGTTATAGTCACACTCACCTGCAGTGCTCCTTGGCGGGATAGTTCCCCCCTGGCTTGATCGGCCGCGCCTTCTTCCGCCAGTCCGACTCGGCCGTTCCCCCGCTTCCCCCCACCGCCGCTTCCGCCCCTGCGCGCACGGGCGAGTGCAGATGGCGCAGGCCTGCGCGGATGCGGCGAGAAGGCGGAGAGCGGAGCGGCTCCCCGCGGACTTGGCTGGCCGAGGAAATGGCCGCGCGGGGGGGAGGGGAAGACGCGGGCGGGGGTGGCGCGCGCGGAGCGAGGAGATCGGACGCGAACGCGCTCATGACTGTCGCCATTCGGACCGCCATTTGGAAGGGCGACGCGCGTTCAGTTAATGGCGAGAATGAGCGAACGGACTACAGACTCGGACTACAGCTCGCCGTGCCGGGGAGTAATGTCGCGTGCGTCTGTCACTCGTGTCTCCCACCGAAACACTGAACGAATGTTCCCTCGTATCGCGCTATCGCTCGGAACACCCGTAAATCGGCGCGGAAAGACTATCACAGTGGCGGAGATTCCGAGGGCAATGAAGGCCTCCTATAACGAAACAATGACCCGATAAGAGGGCAACAAGGAGAGTCTGGCGAGTCAAGAGAGAGATCTCGCCCAGATTGCTTTGAAGTTGGAAGCCACGAACTGAACTGGTGCCACGTCAATTGTCAGTCGTTCTGAGTCAGCCAGCCTTCGCACAGTGCAGCCACAATCTCCCAGTACACCCACCATCTGAAACAATACACTAAGTCACATCACATCAATCGAACATTTGATTTTTTACAAACACAGCTGCACAAAGCAAATTCTGGTTCCCTACAACCCGGCACATTAATCTTGCATCTGAAGATGAACACAAAGGGGAAACAAATCTCACACGTACACAATGCTCGAGCCAAAACAAATCAGAATCCGCGGAGTCCCATCCCATCCCACAAGACTTACCGTTCCCAAACCTACATGCAAGCGTGGATAAAGGCTACAAATAACAGACGCCCTACAAAGAGGGTAAGCAGGTACCCTCGCCTTATTTCCCACCCCACTGCCACCACTACTTTTGCTGCCGATCCCCCCCCTCACATACCTACTGCGTCCGCTGCCAACATCAATGCAAGCTGCTGCCATCATTGCCTACAAGCTTTACTTTGAACTGCAGCTGCGGGATAATCCGCTCTTACAACTGCCTGCAAGACCCTCTCTTACACCTACAGGTGCTGCCACTCAGCTGCGTCCACTTGATTCAAAAGTCAGTCCCCCCCCCCCCCCCCCCTCTCTCCCCTCGTCAGCAGTTGCCAATTCAGTCGCCTCAGAAGCTACCCTCCCCCCTCCGTCAGAAGCTCGCCCTTATCTCCATCATCCCAAACAGCAGGCTCGCTTCGGCCGGCGATGCACCCTCAGCAGCAGTAATCCGCCCTCTTCTAGTTGGTCTCAGACGCTACCCATCCCCCGAATCCTCATCTCCCATATCTAGTTTGTGTGAGAAGCCTCCCCCCGGGTTCTTCGTCTTGCCAAACAGCAGCTCGGGCAGCTTCAGCAGCAGCAATCCCCTCCTCTAGTCTGCCTCTCAAGAAGCTACCCCCTCTCCTCCTCTCCCGCTCCTAGTTTCTGCGAGAAGCTTCCCGCCCTTTTCTTCATCGTGCCGAACAGCAGCTCGGGCAGCTTGGGCCGGCGGTACATCCGCAGTAGCAGCGACGAGCACACCACGCTAACAGACGACATCGCCATCATTGCGCCGGCCAGCCAGGGAGGCAGCCGCACCATAAACACCGGGTACAGCACGCCGGCCGCCAATGGAATGAGCAGCACATTGTACCCCATGGCGAACACGTAGTTCCATCGGATTCTAGAAAAGGTCTTCCTCGCGAGATCCAGCGCCGTGATTACATCCTCCAGGTTTGACCGCATGAGGACAAAATCCGCCGCCTCGATCGCGACGTCGGTGCCGGCGCCAATGGCAATCCCCACGTCGGCTGCGGCCAGAGCCGGAGCATCGTTGATCCCATCGCCCACCATGGCCACCACTGACTGGCGCTCGTTCCCACTGAAGCCAGCAGCAGCGGCACACGCGGAGCAGATAGAGCAAGGGAGAGCAGAGCAGCAGCCAAGAGCACTGCCTAGTAATGCGGTTACCCGGCAACACATGCAGCTCCTGCTGCTGCCGGCCGGTGCAGGGCCGAGTGGGGGAGGTGCCATCTGCAGGGAGCGGATGGCAGCCGCCTTGTGGGCCGGCAGCACCTCAGAGATGACCTCATGGATGCCCAGCTGAGCATGGCGAGGAGAGAAAAGGTGGGGGGGAGAAGGGGGGGAGAAGGGGGGAGAAGGGGGAGAAGGGGGGAGAAGGGGGGAGAAGGGGGGAGAAGGGGGGAGAAGGGGGGAGAAGGGGGGAGAAGGGGGGAGAAGGGGGGAGAAGGGGGGAGAAGGGGGGAGAAGGGGGGGGAGAAGGGGGGAGAAGGGGGAGAAGGGGGGAGAAGGGGGGAGAAGGGGGAGAAGGGGGGAGAAGGGGGGAGAAGGGGGGAGAAGGGGGGAGAAGGGGGGAGAAGGGGGGAGAAGGGGGGAGAAGGGGGGAGAAGGGGGAGAAGGGGGGAGAAGGGGGGAGAAGGGGGGAGAAGGGGGGAGAAGGGGGGGAGAAGGGGGGAGAAGGGGGGAGAAGGGGGGAGAAGGGGGGAGAAGGGGGGAGAAGGGGGGAGAAGGGGGAGAAGGGGGGAGAAGGGGGGAGGAAGGGGGGAGAAGGGGGGAGAAGGGGGAGAAGGGGGGAAGGGGGGGGGAGAAGGGGGGAGAAGGGGGAGAAGGGGGGAGAAGGGGGGAAGGGGGAGAAGGGGGGAGAAAGGGGGAGAAGGGGGAGAAGGGGGGAGAAGGGGGGAGAAGGGGGGAGAAGGGGGGACAGTAAGGGCAAGCGAAGGAGACCCAGAGCAGGGCGCGCTGGGATGGCATGGCAGCAGCCTTGTGGGCCAGAAGCACCTGCTGACATGCTGTCGCATCCATGAGCTTGTGGATGCTTGTGGGCCTTGTGGATGCATGTTGAGCTGCTGACAGAAAGGGGGTCGGGAGGCGGGGGCGAGAGAGGGGGGTTTAAGAAGCGCTGGGGGATGGGAGCCAGTACTGCAGGAGCGCACGGAAGGGCGGGCAGCAACATGGGGAAGAGGAGACAGCCAGGCAAACGAGGTGCCCATGAGCTGAGCGCAGCAAGCGAGGTGGACTCCCGCGCTTGCACTCCCGCGCACCGCATCTACCATCTCCACCGCCTCTCTGCCTGCAATCGTGCTGGCGTCGACGATGAGGGGCACAGGAGCTGCCAAACAAGAGGAGAGTCTCACCTGTCGAGCCACGGCGTTGGCGGTGCGGCGGTTGTCCCCCGTCATCATTACCGCCCGCACCCCCATGCGCCTCAACCCCTCCACCACCACCGCTGCCTCCCGCCTCACTGGGTCGCTGATCACCACACTCCCCACCACCCTCACACTCCCCCCCTCCCTCACACTCCCATTTGTCCACATCTTCCCTTCCACCATCACATTTCCCCCAATCCTCACGTTCTCCCCCACCCTCACACTCCCCCCCTCCTCACTCCCCCCCTCCCTGCCGCCCACCGCCACTATAACCCCGGTCCTGGCCTCCTCCTCCTGAGCCTGCAACAGAAGATCCACCTGAGCGGGCACCTGAACGCCCAGGTGTTTCATCAGGCCACGGCTGCCCACCAGCACCACCCGGCCGTCCACACAGCAGCGCACCCCCATGCCTGCGAGCACCTCACACTCCCTTGCCTCTTTCATCCAGCTCACGTCCTTAGAGGGCTTGAGAGACGACCCGGAGGGTGAGGAAGCCGAGGACGAGGAGGAGGAAAGGGGGGAGGGAAGGGCTGTTTCGTCCCCAGGAAAGCCTCCCCCGGAAAAGACAAAGTAGTGCTGCGCGTAGTCCAGAATCGCCCGCCCCAGCGGGTGCTCGGAGTTGGCCTCTGCAGCCGCTGCTAGGGAGAGCAACTCGGCTTGAGACATGGCCTCATTATCACACCCCTCGTTAGTAGCAAACCCAGTATTATCACCAACATATGGCACCACTGCCACCACCCTTGGCTTTCCCACCGTTAGAGTCCCCGTCTTATCAAACGCCACGCATGTGACTTTATGCGCTGCTTCCAGCGCCTCTCCCCCCTTTATAAGCACGCCCTGCGCCGCCCCGACCCCTGTGGCGACCATGACTGCAGTGGGGGTGGCTAATCCGAGGGCGCAGGGGCACGCTATAACGAGTACGGCTATGGCAAAGAGCAGCGGGAGGGTGAACTGGGAGTCTACCCCTGGGGGTAACATGGAGGATGAAATGCACCCCATGCTTCCAGCCATGAACCAGCAGAGCCACGTGGACAAAGACAGCATCACCACCACCGGCACAAAGACAGCCGCCACGCGGTCCGCAAACTTCTGGATGGGCGCCTTGCTGAGCTGGGCGGACTCAACGAGTGACACTATCTGCGCCAGGGCTGTCTCGCTGCCCACCTGCAAGCAGCACAAGGGGACAGCGGCACAGCGGGCAAGGAGGGGAGACGGGGGGATGCGTCAATTTTTGAGGCGCCTCAAAAAGAGGGGAGACGGGGGGATGCGTCAGGCTTCTGGATTGCCTTGGAGAAGGCGGGGGGCGCCTTGCTGAGCCGCGCTGACTCCAAACGAAACGCAAGGTAGAAAGGTCACTGCCGCCCAAAAGGCGAGACTTGCAGCATGCGACAGCACGACTCAACCCTCACCTGAGTGGCCCTCAGCAGCACGCCGGCCGATAGATTCACTGTGCCGCCCAGCAGGCGAGATCCCGGCCCCTTGGCCACTGGCGCTGACTCGCCCGTCAGCATAGATTCATTCACATGGGTGGTGCCTGGTGGAGAAGGGGGGGAGGGGGGTGGGAGGTGGGCGGGAAGCATTGGGTAGGCTCCCCTTGGCCACCGGCGCTCACTCGCTCACCGGTGCTCACAAGCCAACATTGGGTCATTCACGTGGGTGGCGAGTTGGGTTGGTTGAGTAGGGAGACAGAAGAGCATAGAAAGCATGGGAGGGAGTTTTGACAAGTCTGCGAGTAATTCCCAGGTGGGAAATACCCGCCTTAACTCAATACCCGATTCCCAGACACAACGCCCCTCTGCAGTAGCCACATCTTACGGCACCTCCAGCGTAGCTGACCCCGTTCACCCATTACAGCTACCCCCTTGCCACTCACCCGCCACAATGACACCGTCGGTGGGCACTCTAGCCCCCGGCAGCACTCGCAGCACGTCCCCCATCTGTAACAAAAACGCGCCAAAGCAGACCAAACTCCCCCCATTCACCCGTTCAAATCACTCCCAAACCATTCACCTGTCACAACCACTCCCCACCATTCAGCCGTTACAACCACTCCCCACCTTTCAGCCGTTACAATCACTCCCCACAACTCACCCGCCACAATGACACCGTCTGTGGGCACTCTAGCCCCTGGCAGCACACGCAGCACATCCCCCCTCTGCAGCAGCCGCGAGTCCACCTCCCTCTCTGAAACCACCTTGCCATCTGATGCCGTGTGGAGTGGGAGGGAGGGGGAGAAAAGCGGAGAGAGTTAACACGTGCAGTACGTCCTCTCAGATACCGCCTTGCCGTCTGCCAGTGAGCAAGAGGGGGGTGGGGGAAGAGAGGCACAAGGGGAGAGAGGGAGACAGAGGAGGGGGCGAGAGGTGAGGAGCAGGATAAGGCAGCGCTCACAGCGCATCCCCCCCCCAGCAACCGGGAATGAACCCTCCCTCTCAGATAGCACCTTGCCGTCTGGTGGAGGACCCGGGGAGAGAGGAGGGGAGAGAGGGGGGGAGAGAGAGAGAGGGACAGAGGGACAGCGAAAGGGGGGGGGGGGGAGGAAAGGGGAGATTGGACGCTTCAAAGGGAGGGGAGACACGAACGGAGCGGAAGAGGGGAAGCGACGTCATCCCCGACCTGCATGCAGCAATCAGCCCACCATGAGCCCACCCCTACCTGCATTGACATCCACCAGCACAGCCGTGGCGGGCGCCAGTTGCAGCAGCTTCTGTATCGCCTCGGACGTCTTCCCCTTGGCCACGGCCTCCAGATACTTGCCGCCCAGAATGAACACGATCAACCTGTCGCGTGCAGAAACCTGGATTCACTTATCAGCCCTGCACGTACCTGCGTTCACGTCCACAAGAACAGCCGTGGCGGGCGCCAGTTGCAGCAGCTTCTGAATGGCCTCGGACGTCTTCCCTTTAGCCACCGCCTCCAGGTACTTGCCGCCCAGAATGAACACGATCAGCATCACGGACGTCTCGAAGAAGTCGTGCCCCAGGTACCGCCCCGTACCCATCTGCACCGCAAGGGTCAGCAGCGAGTAGCCGTACGCCGCGGAGGTCCCGAGGGAGACGAGCACGTCCATGTTGGCGCTCCCGTGGCGGAGCGATCTGAACCCTGCGATGTAGAATCGACGGCCCAGATAGAACTGGACCGGCGTGGCGAGGAGCAGCTTCAGCCATTGGATCAGGGTGACGTGGAGGAGGGAGACGGCGCGCAGCGGGCGGAGAAGGGGCGTGTGGGAGCAGAGGAGGTTGAGGAGGAAGAGGGGGAGGGCGAAGACGAGCGAGAGGGAGAACTGGCGCGTGAGGGAGTGCAGCTCGGAGGAGCGGTCGGGGCGGTAGGAGCCGAGCACGCTGGGCAGGGCGACACGCAGCGACGGGGAATGCTTTCTGCTGCCCTTCCTGCTGTGAGAACCGCCCTTCCTTGCACTCTCATCGCTTCCCGTCGCTCCGCTCGCTCCATTCCTCCGATCCCCTCTTCTCGCTGTCCTCGTTTTGAGGGTTCTCGTTACTAGTGTCAGGAGCGCATGAGCCCGCTCTGCCCAAGGGCCCCTCTTCCTCCCTCGGCCGACCAATTTCTCCCTCTCCTCTTCCTCCTCCCCCCCTTCCTCCGTCTCTCCTTCCTCCACCCCTCCCTCCTCATCCCCCTCCCTCCCTTGCTCTTGCCTCTCCTCACTCCTCCTCTCCTCCCCAACCTCCCCCAACCAATCATCATCCTCATCCCCCCCCTCCTCCTCCCCACCCATCCCCAACCCCACCAGACTAATCGCCTCTATAGCACCCACTACGTCCCTAATTCCCGTGATTTCCGGGTCATATTCCACCTCCACCCACCCGCTCCTAGCATCTACACTTACCTCCCTAACTCCCGCCACTGTTAATACCGCCACCTCCACCGCTGCTGCCACGTCATCCCTGCCTCCCACCCCCGTTACAGTCACGCTCAGCCGGTCGCTCCCGCTGTCGGTGCCGAGAATCGCGGCGTCGAATCCGGCGTCCTCGACCAATCGCAGCGCATCTTTCACGCCAAGAATCGCGGAATCGACGGCGATCTCGGCGGTTTCGGTGGCGAGCGACACGGACACGCGGCGCACGCCTGTCGCGGATTGGACGGCGGTGGTAACCGCCGTAACGCACGCGGCGCACGTCATGCCGGTTATTCGCACCCGCACTGTTACAACGCCGGGCGAATGCGAAGTCGGTAACCCTACATCCGGCAACGCAACTGCAGCTGCTGCTGCTGGTACTAGCGGCTGCGACTGCGACGGCATTGAGGCTGTAGGCTGACTCGATAAAGCGGCGGCTGAAGTTTGGTCCGACGCCGCATTTGCAGGCAGTAGACTCTGATCCGTGGGAAACCTCGACGACATGATGGTTTCTGCTGCTTGCGAGGCTCGCGAGGGCCGCGAGAGGGAGACGATTCTAGCGTCAAATCCGGCGTCTTCTACGGCGGTGACTATTTCGCTCTCGTTGACTCTGCTCGGATCGAACGTGATCTGAGCCTGACTCTGCAGCAGCGCCACCGCGGCAGTTGCCACTCCCGGCAGTCTCGAGAGAGCGGTTTCCACGGCGGTCGAACACGCGGAGCACGTCATGCCCTCTATCCCCACCACCACCCGCGCCGCTGCTGACGTGGCAGTAATGGAAGCTGCCGACGTGGCAGATGCCGCTGCTGCTGCAACCCCACAAGCGGCCGGAGAAGCATTGGTGACGACAGCTGGGGAAGCAACCGGGGAGGCGACAGCGGCTAACTGACGCGAGGAGGGCCGAGAAAGGGAGACGATTCTAGCGTCGAATCCGGCGTCTTCTACGGCGGTGACTATTTCGCTCTCATTAACGATGCTCGGGTCGAACGTTATCTGAGCCTGGTTCTGCAGCAGCGCCACGGCAGCGGCCGTTACTCCCGGCAATCTGGAAAGAGCGGTTTCCACGGCGGTCGAACACGCGGAGCACGTCATGCCCTCTATCCCCACCACCACGCGGGCTGACGTGGCACTCGCTGCTGCCAGTGACGTGGCAGCAGACGATATGGCCGCCATCGCTGGCGATTGTCGCGGTGCCGCTCGGGCTAGGTGCGAGCGAGCGATGGTAAAGACTCCCCGAGCGAAGCAGCTTGGCCGAGCAGATGCGGTTCTATCGAGTTCTTTTTGTTAATCTACGCGTAAACCGAGCTCCGCAGTTCTGACATCTCATAATATCTTGGAACATTCGGAACGAAACATCGTGAGGAAAGTAAGCTGGCGTGTAGACGAGGAAAAGAGGCGTGCAGACGAGGATAAGACCACTAGACTGACACTCGCGGTCCTCTGCCCACGAGCACGCCTCGTTGGGGAGAAGCCTTGACTGAATTATCGCCAATCAAGGTTTACGTCTCCGCAGAGAGCGTGACGTGAAGGAAGGCTAGGACTGGGAGGGACAGTCAAGAGCCATGGCGTGGCGAGGAGGAAAGAGGTAAGGTTCGGCGAACCGTTACCACTTCGCTCTAGTTCGTGAAGACCGGTCGCCTCAAACGTTTGCCGTCGTACGACGAGCTAGCGAAGCTTTAGGTTCAATCGTCGTTTGACCCCTGTGCCAGCCAGCTATCCATTCGCTCATGTCACGTAGGGGCGGTGAAACAGCCTTTTCTGGTGACGGCTCCTTCCATGGAACCGCCGCTCTGCGACAACAGTGCGCCGGAGCACCGACGAATGCGGCAGCCACGGGCAACGAGCGATGGAACAGAAAGGCACACCATGGGACTCCTTGAGCGACCACGATTTTGTATGGTGAACGAGCCATGCGATGTGTGGACCTATTGTCGGGTGTGATTTTCGAGAAAGGCGTGATGCGACGCGATGCCGCGAATGGTCGACGTCCCATACGACGACAGCGCAGCAAATTTCATGCACTGTACAGTCTTGAACGACTCCTTTGAGTTGCGCAAGTCTGACGGGATGCGGAAGGGGAGGCAACGGTCACGAAAGTCCCATGGAAGTCACATCTGTTCACTGTATACGCCTACTCGCTGCACTTCGTGAATTCTGTCGTGACAAAGCGCTACATATGATTTCAAGTTTCGGAACACACAAACAAAAGTGAAACTTGGCAAGTAGCAAGGGTGTTTGCGAGGTGAGTGTAGCTGATATTATATTTGATAGGGGCCATTACATATTATACAGAATACCCCATCTAGCGTACACTTCTTTTTCACAACAAAGCCAGGGGTAAATATTGATGTCACACGCGGGCTTGCATTTTGAGCTAGAAGAGGGATTTATGCCAGCGGTATCAACCTGCGGACGCCCCCGCATAATCATGGTTAGCAGCAAGCCTGTATGCGCGGAGGAGCACACACTACGGTAAGGCAGGCCTCTGGTAATTCGGAGGCAAGCACAACGACGCGCCGACTTTCAGCAGATCAGCGCACGACCGTCCGCCGTTAGCAGAGCGGAAAGTGGCGAAGCTCTTCCTATAGTAGCGGAACACAATGCGCACGCACGTGTCCGCGGCCTTCACGCGGTACGTCTGCCCGGACGCGCAACGCGGCGCTCCCGAACCTCCGGTTGAGCCACTTGACGGCGCCGGCTGCGAGCCGCCTCCCTCAGGCCCGCCTCGGAGGTTGGAATCAGTAGGAATCGTTCCTGGCTGGTATACTAATTTCGCATCACATGCTGGGGGAGAAATAGGGAAGGAAGGGGACAGAAAAAGAAGATTCAGTCCGTTTCCACTTACAATTTGGTGCCCGTCAGGCACGGCTCGAATTGGCGAAGAAGGGATTTCCAGGAGTTATCTAGGCCAGAACTTCAAGGCGGAGAGGGGAGGGCGCGGGTGAGTCGAACAAGCGCGTGTGAAGCGAGCGAGCGCTGGGAAGCGAACGAGCACGTGGGTCTGTGATGGACAAAAAAAAAGCTTTACACGCGATTGTGTAGCGAAAAAATACCATAAAAGAAGCTTCTTCGTGATGAACGACGTACCTTGAAGCAGTACCAATATCCCGAGCAGCGTCAGAAGGAGCGCGCGCAACGCGATAGCCATGTCGTCAGGCCGAGGGTATGCCTTGGAAGGCGGGATGGGCGAGTCGGTGCGGCTGGAGATGGAGCGGGATCTGACCACAGGAGTCAAAACCTGAGCCCTTCGGTGGATGGAACGGAATGGCGCCGCTGGGAAAGAGTGTCAGGAAGGGGGAGGCGCATTTACTAGCAATCTAGGTAGAGGTGGTGGTGGTTTACGGGGCTGCTACTGAATGCGTTCAAATGGCGGGGCGTGTTTTTTTATATTTGACCTGGCGCATCACCGTAGGGAGTGAGAGAGGGGAACGAATTCAGATCCCTCGAATTATTGGATGAGCTTGACTCGTTACGCGTTCGACGGATTGAATTATCATCCGTAACAGAAGCTACATTAATGTACACAATCAATATGGAATCGAGATCAAAGTAATGTACGCACATTATCAATAGACAACATGACCTTGATGGTTTTTATGGAGTAAAATTAATATTTATCTTAAATAATTTCTCAAAACATCAATTACGACCGTATGATTCTCAAATATCTTTCGGATAATTATTATTTAGGCTTCATTTTAGTTTCGCTTTAATGAATGGTGGATAAATGATTAGTACATATGCGCTCAGGTTCAGGAACAAACAAATTTTTTACTGTGTTTGGCATACAAACAAGATTGGAAGAACGCTATGCTGCGTTTTGCTTCCATTTTTATTCAAGAACTCCCTATGGATGGACTGTACTAATCAGGTGCCTTTTATTAATCACACAACCAGGGGTATGTCACTGATGTCACTACCACGCTTGAGGAATTGTGATCGCTCAATAGGCGCATCCGACACCTTCCAAATCAAGCCTAGCACTAAGCCGCTAGCCGCTACGTGCGGAGGAACACACAAGACTGAAAGGCAAGCACTCGTCTCTAATTTGGAGGCAAGCAGACCGACGAGCCGACTTTCAGTGGATCAAGGCACGGCCGTCCGCCGTTAGCAGAGCGGAAAATGGAGTAGCTTCTTTTGTAGAAGAGGAACATCAGGCGCACACACGTGTCTGTGGGCAGCACGCGGTATGCCCGCCCGGACGCGCAACGTGGCCCTCCCGAATCTCCGATTGGCCCACTTGGCGGCGCAGGCTGCGAGCCTCCCCTAGGTGGACCTCTGACGTTGGTATCAGGGGTAGGTGGTTTTGGCCGGGGTACGTTCTTCACAGCAGATCCGAGTGGAATGGAACCTGAGACACCGGCGGGAGGGGATGATCGGGGACGGGGTTGAAAGAAAGCGCGGGGAAACGAAGAGGACAGAAAGCAAGTGAATTCTAGTAACATAGACTTTAGTACGTGGCTGGCACGGGCCGATTTGGCGACGACGACACTTCCAGGTGACATCTTGTCGTGGACTTCCTCGCAGAAAGGGAAACGGCTCGCCGGAGCCTTCAAAGCTAAAAATTATGGACTGGAAGTTCCAGTGTCATCTTGGCCGGGACGTCATGGCAGAAAGGGCGGCGGAGGGCGCGACGGATCTTTCCATTGCTACAATCTTCGAGGCGAACAAGCGAACGAGCGAACGAGCGCCTCGCTCTGAGGTGATAGAAAAGCGGAATTACATGCGAGGGAAAAAAAATCATGGGAACATGGAAGCTCCTTTGTGACTGAAGGCGCACTTTGAAGTATTATCAGTATCCCGAAAAGCGTCAAAAGGAGAGCTCGCAACGCGACAGACATGCTCCCAGGCTGAGGGTACGCCATGGGCAATGACGGAGAAGCGACTCGGTGTGGCTGAAGTGTGATCTGGTCTCAAGTGTCGAAGTCTGAGCTCTGGGTGGATGGAAGGACGTAGATGGCACCTCCTGCAAAAACAAACGATCTGCTTCCACCGTGGAAGGCGCAGGTGCGGTCCAAGCAATGGAGGTTGAACAATCGGGCTGTTGCTGAATGCATTTGGGTTGGCGGGGGTTCGCATGTATTTGAACTGACGGAATCTGCTGGGGTGGGGTGGGGTGGAAGGTTGGGACTGGCTGAAATCAGTTTCGCTCGGAATTATTGGTGGGATTAGCGTCGAGTCGCGTTACACTACACAAAGCACATTCCGCAACAGCAACAAGACCTCACTATGTTACCCAAGTCAATTGCAGTCAACACCTTGATTCGACGTGATAATTCTTAAGTTGTACACCACATTCATCATAGGACGTTGCATCTGATTTCCGTGCCCTTAAGTAAACATTCAGGGCTAGTAAGAAACACAGGAAGCAACTCAATCTAGAGTAGACAAACAGGGCCAGCTTTATTTGGGGGATCAGCTGCGAAGGCAGTTATTCAACCCCTAGTAACTATTTTAGTCAGCTATTTTATGGGGTACAGAGAGTGGAGCCGACTTTCAGGGGCTCAACGCACTTGTACCGGTTGTATTTCTCGAACAGCTGAGCCTGCTTCTTGTATGACTTCAAGATTAGGCCCGCGCATGTGTCGGTCGCCACTACCTTCCGAGCCTTCAGCTTTCCTGAACAACCAGCCATACTCGGAAGGGCTGGAAGAAAGGAAAATAGAGGACAAAGTATAGACGTCAGAAGGGTAATAGAGGAGCAACACAATGCAACTTTGATTGAACTGAGGGGTCACAACTGGTGAACCACACACTACGGAACCACGCGAGGTCCCAAAACGGTCCAATACCATTGCTTGGAAAGAAAGATGCAGTAACGAGGATAGGAAAAAGACGGGTCGGACGTTGGGTGAGGGATGGCGGTTTGACTCGTCGACACATCACGGCGCGTTGACCCACCAGCAGAGACGAGGAGGACGGCCAGAATCGCGACGATTAGAAACTTGATGGAGGCCCTCATCGTGCCGATTTTGAAGGGCTGATCGGCGAAGGTAAGAAGTCAGTGAGGTAGTCGCAAATGCGCTAGGCAAGAATGACGATTTGAGTAGACTTGTTGGCGAAGGTAATAAGGCGGCGATGTACTGGTCGCGGATGCGGAAAGCACGAATGATTCTCTGGCGACGACGCAGCGGGTATTTGAGTCTGAGGGAACCATTCAGTTCTCAAATATACCTGTCTACGAGGTAGACTCGCTGCCTAGAGCGGCGCCTGCCCTGCTGATGCATATGGGCGAGATGTGGCAATTTCGAGGCGCGATGCAAAGCCATGACCCTCAAGTTTCTGAAATCCAAACCAAGGGGGCACACACCACTGTATCAAAGAAGGAACTTGGTTGAGTAACGTCTAGCGACTGGGATCCAGCCAGCTAGGTTAGTAGCAGGACTGAGCTGTGCCTGACCAGCAGGAGTCAGACCATAGGGATTCGCCACCGCAGCAACACCACCACACCACAGGCACCAGGAAGTGCCTGTGGGCGTTGCTGGTGGTGGCGAGTGGTTCATCCTCGACGGGTGGCGGTTTGTACTTTATGAGTGATATACACGGATACAGTCCTTTATGCAGTTTAACTTCAATTTTGTGTCTAAAATCTGCTGCAATTCAATTGTAAGAAAATGTATCAACAGAGAAAAAACTCCATAGCTCCAACCCCTCGAACCACAGAATATGGTTATTCACGCTGCCAGGGAAGATAGACTAGGGTTTCCTAATCCCAGGCAATCCTGACAAGCCCACCAAGTCCGACTACACGCCGCCAAAGCGCTGTCTGAAAAGGCCTGGACAAGTGTGTTCTATTCAATTTACTATTGGGCTGTATTTCCAACATTTACAATAGTAAAAGCAGGGGACCATTCTGCGTTTGCAGTTATTGCTCAAGGCACGGCCCCTTGGCACCATCCCTAAGTCCCTCCATACTATTTTGGGAGACAGAGTGTGGAGCCAACCTTGAGAGGCTCAGTACACTTGTAGCCATTGTACTTCTGGAACAGCTGAGCCTGCTTTTTGTAGAACTGGAGAATGAGGCCCGAGCATGAGTCGGTCTTCACTATCTTCCTCAGCTTTCCTGAGCAACGCGCCATAGTAGGGAGCGCTGGAAGAAAGAAAAATAGAGAGGGGAAGAACAAGTAACAGAACGGGTAAAGAGAATCAACATGGCGGCAACTGTGAATGAACTGAAGGATGATCAAACAGGAGGTGAACCAGAACAGGTTCCAAATGGGGGTGATTGAGTGACTAAGTGGGGATTGGTGGTGTGTCTACTCTACGAATCACGGCGCGTGCACCCACCAGCAGAGACGAGGAGGACGGCCAGAATCGCGACGATCAGAAACTTGATGGAGGTCCTCATGGTGTCGATTAGAATGAACAAAGTTGAAGGCGAAGGAAATGAGTCGCAGATGCACGATGCTAGAGGCCTGATTGAAAGGGGAAGATGTTGCTGATATAAATGGGTGATGAACGAAGTGTGACAGGCTTGCTCAAATATAGCAGCCTACGGCACTGCTTGGCCTCGCTTTCCGGAGTGGCGGCCAAGAGCTAATGCTCCGCCTAGAGCGCCGCCTGCCCTGCTGATGCATATGGGTGACATGTGGCGTCGTCGAAGCGCGATGCGAAGCCATAATCCTCGAGGACCCAAACAACTAAACCAAGGGGTGATAAGAAATCTCAGACCACACCGTCTCGGTTCCAGCCACTCGGCTCTCGGTGCCTGTGTGTCTCAGTCGCAAGAATCCGAATTTCGCCACCACCAAAACACCAGCCAGACCAGAGTCACCAGCAAGAACATGTGGGGCTTGCTGGTGGGCTGGCGGGCGAGTGGTTGGGTTGAGCGCAGAACGGTGGGGGATTGTGGCAATCTACAGTCCGTGAAATAGATCTATATTGATAAAAGAGTTCATTCAGCATTGATGAAAGGTGGGAAATTTGCAATCAGGTAAGACCGTTCTGTATTAATACGTGTGTAATATGTCTAATGAATATACTTGTCTGTAAAATCATAGGAACATCCCGTTGACATCGCAGCATAGGAATTTCGGTATGTTGATGGTGATTTTTTGTGATAATAGTGCGCCCAATAACCCTTCCACAAACATCCATTGTTTTTTTCCCTTTTTCGTCCCATTGTACAGCATTTGACTTGATAGATGTGTTTTTCAACCACAGCGCGCTGTACACTTGCAGAAAAAAAACGATACAATCTGCGAGAGCTTCTGTCGAGGATCATCTGGGAGTTGACCCTCCAACAAAACCCTTTCACACGAAACCCCTGAACCCAAACTTAGTCTGGAAGTCAATTTTGCCTGCTGCTAGGATCGATAAGACTTTTTATGTCTTGAAGTTTTAGGGCTTCCCCGGTCGTGATCACTCTGGCCGAGCCTCACCAGCGACCACGCGCCGAATTTAGTGGCGCATTCCTCTCCCGGCGTTCCTTCGCCGCCACTCGCGACGCGATTTCCCGGACTAGCGACGACCAGTTGCACAGCATCGTGCGTCCTTAGCGTCTGGTTGATCTCCTGTGCCGTCCGTTCAGCCATTCCCCCGCTCCCGAGGAAGAGGCGTCTTTTCGCCGGAGCAGGTTCTCGCGAGCGATTGAAAGTATCGCGAACGTTTGAAGGTATCGCGAACGATTCAAGGTATCGCGAACGATTCAAGGTATCGCGAACGATTCAAGGTATCGCGAACGATTCAAGGTATCGCAAACGGTTTGAGTAATTGCGAACGACCAGAGGGATCGCGAACGATACTTGGGATCACGAACGGTTAAATGCCCGGGATGGGTCAAGAAAACAGCGGCAACGGTGGAAAGGCGAAGGGAGGGAAGAAGAAGGGAATGAGGGGGTTGAAAGAGGTGGAAGAGAGACGAGAGGAGGTGGAGGTGGAGGGGGAGGGGGAGGAAGAGGAGAGAAGAGAGGAGGTGGCGGAGGTGGAGGAGGAGGAGAGAAGTGTGGGGGAAGAAGAAGGGTTGAGTGACGAGGGGGAGGAGGAGGAGGAAGATGCGGAGGAAGTGGAGGGGGGAGAAGACGAGGACGCGGAGGAGGAGGGAGAGGAGGAGGAGGAGGGAGAGGAGGAGGAGGAGGGAGAGGAGGAGGAGGAAGGAGAGGAGGAGGAGGAGGAAGAAGGAGAGGAAGAAGAGGAAGAGGAGCAGGAAGAGCAGGGGTTAGAGAGCAAGAAGCGGAAGCGGAAGCGGAAGGAGGGGCAGAAGGGCGGGGGAGACGGGCAAGCGGCGGCAGGTGCGGCGGGGAAAAAGGTCGCCGTGGGGAGCAGCAAGGCGGACATGGTCGCCAAGGAAGCTTCCGCGAAGGGGAAGGGGAAGACAGCCAACGGGGGAAAGGCGGATAAGGCGGATAAGAAAGAGAAGGAGGGGGAGAAGGACAAGGAGGGAGGGAAGGAGGGGAAGGCGGCGAGGGGCCCGGGCAGCGACATAATGAGTGCGGTGGCATTCGACACGCTTCATATCTGCGACGGCACGCGCAAGGGCATCGAGGAGATGGGCTTTAAGCACATGACCGAGGTGAGCCACGGCCTTAAACCCCTAGGGGTTAAGAGGTGAGGGAAAGGGGGTGAGGGGGTCAGGCAGCGACATCGTGAGTGCGGTGGCGCTCGACACGCTGCACATCTGCGACTGCACGCGTCAGAACTTAGGGCATCGAAGAGATGGGCTTTAAGCACATGATGGAGGTGAGCGGTCGAGAGTGCGGGGATTTAAGAACAGAGGTAAGCGGCTGTCTTCCAGGTTTCATGGTTTAGTGCCACTGAACGGAAGCCATGACGTTGGTTTTTTTTCCTGAAGTGGCGTTTTAATATAAACCTCTCCCTTCTCTCTCTCTCTCTCTCTCTCTCTCTCTCTCTCTCTCTCTCTCTCTCTCTCTCTCTCTCTCTCTCTCTCTCTCTCTCTCTCTCTCTTTCTTTATTCATTTATTTCCAACCTCTTTCCTTTGTGTTTTTTTGCCTGCTACAGGTCCAGGCTCGGACCATACCGCACCTGCTGGCTGGGAAGGACGTGCTGGGCGCGGCGCGCACAGGCTCGGGGAAAACCCTGGCGTTCCTTATCCCCGCTATTGAGCTGCTGTTCCGCGGCAACTTCATGCCGAGAAACGGCACGGGCGTGATCGTCATCTCGCCCACCAGAGAGCTCGCCATGCAGGTGGGGTATAGGGGGAGCAAGGGGGGGGATATGCGGGCGGGTTGGGTGGGAAACGGCACGGGCGCGATCATCATCTTGCCCACTAGAGAGCTCGCCATGCAGGTGGGTTGAGAAGGGAGGGCGGGACAGGGCCACACAGGTGGGATGGGAGGGGTATGTATGGGTGGGTTATAGAAGGGGTGATGTGGTGATTCCAACGGGGGTTCGGGTGGGGAATGGCGCGCCCTCTCATTGCCTCGCGCACCACAAGCAGACCGTTGGGATCGTGATGGGGGGCTCTAATCCCATCGCTCAAACACCCCCCCCCTCCCCCCTTTTCCGTCTCTCTATCCCTCCCCTCATGTCCCAGATCTTTGGAGTGGCCAGAGATCTCATGTCCCACCACAAGCAGACGTTCGGCATCGTGATGGGTGGTGCCAATCGCAAGGCGGAGGCGGAGAAGCTTATAAAGGGGGTGAATCTGCTGGTGGCGACGCCAGGGCGGCTGCTGGACCACCTGCAGAACACCAAGGGCTTCGTGTGCCGCAACCTCAAGTGCCTCGTGATCGACGAGGCGGACCGGATTCTGGAAGTGGGGTTTGAGGAGGAGATGCGGCAGATTTTGAACCTGTTGCCCAAGGTAAGGTGAAAAACCAATGCCTTGTTGATCACCAAGCACCTGCTAGCCCACCAAGTGCCTTGGGATTGACGAGGCCGATCGCTTCCTGGAAGTGGGGTTTGAGGAGGAGATGCGGCAGATTTTGAACCTGCTGCCCAAGGTACAACGCCCTGCTAGGCTGCTCCTCCCCCCTCTCCGCTTCGCTCTCTCCTCTCCCCCCTGCTCCATTGCGACCTCAATTGCCTCGTGATCGACGAGGCGAATCGCATCCTGGAAGTGGGGTTTGAGGAGGAGATGCGGCAGATTTTGAACCTGCTGCCCAAGGTATGGTGAATGGGGTTCGTTAGTGTGCTGCGTGTTGTGCTCAGATGGCCTGTAGATTGTTCCTTGGCCTCTTGGCGGCGGGTCACACCGCACCCTGGAAGTGGGGGTTTGATGAGAAAATGGGGTTTGATCCCAGCAGCAGTCACTCTGCTCCCTTTCCACTTGCTTCCAGCCTTCTCGCCTCATTACCAGGACTGCCGAACCATGCAGTTTTCAGCCACCCAGACTACGAATGTGGAGGACCTCTCGTGTGAGTCAGCTTCAGCCTTCTTTTCGTTCTCTCTTGTACACGCTATTTCCTCTCCCCTTGCTTCTCCTTCCCCACACCAGGACCGCCAAACCGTGCTGTTTTCGGAGGATGCCACCCAGACCACCAAGGTGGATTACCTACTGTGCACGAGTCAGCTGCAGCCTCCTTGCTGTCCGCTTTCGGAAAAGGGGGTCAGCCAAGGTGGAGGACCTGGCGCGAGTCAGCTTCAGCCTCGCTCCCTTACTCCCTCTGACTCTTCTTCTTCCCCCCGTGCCCCCATCCACTCCCCGCACCTCACCAGGACCGCCAAACCATGCTGTTTTCGGCCACCCAGACCACCAAGGTGGAGGACCTGGCGCGAGTCAGCTTCAGCCGCACGCCCGTGTATATTGGCGTGGATGACGGGCGGCACAAGGTAGGTCGACGGGCGGCACAAGGTGACTGTGGAAAACGATGTGCAGAACAGTGTGTAATGATGGTCGATGCAATGTGCTGATTTAAATTATGTGAATATAATCCTGCTTTTCTACACTCTGGTTCTATTTGCAATTTCGCATGTCACAGTGGAGGGCTTGGAGCAGGGCTACGGTGTGGTGCCCAGTGCCCAGTGAAGAGGCAGTGTGGGGTGCTGCACTGTACTTAGTGTGACTCTGATGATGTGACTATACGCCATCTGACTCTTCTATATTCAGGCCACGGTGGAGGGCTTGGAGCAGGGTTACTGCGTGGTGCCCAGTGAGGAGGCAGTGTGGGGTGGTACACTGCACTCCACTGTGTGGCCTCCCAGTGAGACTGATGGCATGCAGGCCACCGTGGAGGGCTTGGAGCAGGGCTGGCTACTGTGTGCTGCCTAGCGAGGAGAGGTTTCTGCTGCAGTGTGATTATGTACTGCATGACTGAACACGGTGTGATTGTACGCGCTGCGTCCCCACGTGCAGGCCACAGTGGAGGGCTTGGAGCAGGGCTACTGCGTGGTGCCCAGCGAGGAGCGCTTCCTGCTGCTGTTCACGTTTCTCAAGAAGAACCTCAAGAAGAAGGTGCGAGGGGGGAGGGGGGAGGGGGGAGGGGGGAGGGGGGGCTATTGAGGACGAAGGTGAAAGGGGAGGGGGTGCTTACAGGGTGCTTACAGGGTGTTTTTGGCTCTTGGTTTCACGCTAAAGTCACCCTGTATGCAGCGCTTCCTGCTTCCTGCTGCTCTTCACGTTTCTGAAGAAGAACCTCAAGAAGGTGAGAGAGGGGGAGTGGGTGGGGGGGGGAGAGAGGGGTGAGTGCCTTTTGGCTCCGCCCTTAAGCCACCATGCGAGGAGCGATTTCTGCCGCTCTTACACTCTTCTATGGCAGAAAGCTTGAAGAAGGACGTGAGAGGGGGGAGCGGAATGCCTTTTTTTAACCTGAAGGAGCGTGAGAGGACGTAATCGGAGTCAAGTTCTGCCGTCAATTTCTGCCGTCAAGTTTTATTCAGAGCTAACCTTTGAACTACTTTGACTTCCCATGCTGGACATCTACGGAAAGCAGAAGCGCACGATTGCCCCTCTAAACGCGCCACTCTTGGTGCGTCCCACTTCCGTCTTCCGTCCCACCCCTCTCCAGGTGCTGTGCTTCTTCTCGTCCTGCGCTGCAGTCAAGCTCTAGTTTTGAGGCGCCTCAAAACTAGAATTCTCGTCCTGCGCTGCAGTCGAGTTCTACTCCGAGCTGCTCAGCTACATTGGCATCCCCGTTCTGGCCAACCACAGCAAGCAGAAGCTGCAGAAGCATGCCCGCCCTTGTGCGCCTCTTCACCCTTTGCCTCCCTACCTCTGTCCCACCCGATTCCAGGTGATGGTCTTCTTCTCTTCCTGTGCAGCTGTCAAGTTCTACTCGGAGCTGCTCAACTACATCGACATCCCTGTCTTGGACATCCACGGCAAGCAGAAGCAGCAGAAGCGCACGAGCACGTACTTTGAGTTCGTTAATGCGGATAAGGGCATTCTGCTCTGCACTGATGTGGCGGCCCGGGGGCTGGACATCCCGGCTGTTGATTGGATCATTCAGTACGACCCGCCCGATGATCCCAAGGTGGGTATGATGATGCCAAGGTGAGTGTATGATGATCCCAAGGTTAGTCAGATGATCCCAAGGTTAGTCAGATGATCCTATGGTTAGTCAGATGATCCTATGGTTAGTCATATGATCCCATGGTTAGTCAGATGATCCCATGGTTAGTCAGATGATCCCATGGTTAGTCAGATGATCCCATGGTTAGTCAGATGATCCCATGGTTAGTCAGATGATCCCATGGTTAGTCAGATGATCCCATGGTTAGTCAGATGATCCCATGGTTAGTCAGATAAACTCATGGTTAGTCAGATGATCCCAAGGTTAGTCACCCTTTCCCTGTCCCGCCCTCAGGAGGACATCCACAGAGTGGGACGAACCGCACGAGGAGAGGGCGGCAGCGGGCGTGTTCTTCTCTTTCTCATCCCAGTTTCTGGTGTACCTGCGGTTCTGACTTGCTGCGTCCATTCCATTTCCCCTCTCCCCTATCAGGAGTACACAGGGTGGGAAGAACGGCGAGAGGAGAAGGCGGCAGCGGGCGCGCGCTGCTCTTCCTCATGCGAAAAGAGCTGCAGTTCCTGGCGTGCTTTTGAGTCGACTCAAATGCAGTTCCTGGTGTGCCTGCGGTTGTGACTTGCTGCTGGCATTCCACGCCCCCTATCCCCCCCCTCCCCAGGAGTACATCCACAGGGTGGGAAGAACAGCACGTGGAGAGGGTGGCAGAGGGCGCGCGCTGCTGCTCTTCCTCATCCCAGAGGAGCTGCAGTTCCTCGTGTACCTGCGGTTCTGACTTGTCGTTTACGTTCCATTCCCCCTATCCACCACCTTCCCAGGAGTACATCCACAGGGTGGGGAGAACAGCACGAGGCGAGGGCGGCAGCGGGCGTGCACTGCTCTTTCTCATCCCAGAGGAGCTGCAGTTTCTGGTGTACCTGCGGTCCGCTAAAGTGCCTCTCAACGAGTACGAATTCCCCAGCCACAAGATCGCCAAAGTGCAGCCGCAGCTGGTGAGTGGGTGTGGTGGGGTGATGAGCGGTGATGAGAGGTACTACGAGGCGCAGATGGTAGGCGCACATTGGCGAATGCGCCTCTGCCTCTGTGTGCGAGTACGAGTTCCCCAGCCACAAGATCGCCAAAGTGCAGCCGCAGCTGGTGAGTGCAGCAAACGGCAGGCAGTTAAGTGAGTGAGGAGGAAAGAGCAGGCAGGCATGGGGTTTCCTAGGTTCCTCTTAACGAGTATGAGTTTTCGAGCTACAGGCTCACCAAAGTGCAGCCGCAGCTGGTGAGTTGAGTAGGATCGTTGGTGATGACGTGTGGTGCTGGAAGGGGCCCTTCATAACCAGTCACCCCCATTCACCTCCATAACCCCACCCCCCCTCCTCCCCCCTCTCCTTCCCCCCCCTTTCCCCCCCGGATCACTCCCATGCACACCCATCTATCCCCATTTATTTTAACCAGGAGCGGCTGATCGCCAAGAACTACTACCTGCACCAGAGTGCCAAGGAGGCTTACCGCGCCTACCTGCTAGCCTACAGCTCGCACGCGCTGAAAGACACCTTCAACGTGCACCGGCTGAACCTGCAGGTGCGTTATAGACAGCCCTCTCTTGTTGATGTAGCACTCGCCTACAGCCCCCACGCGCTGAAAGACACCTTCAACGTGCACCGGCTGAACCTGCAGGTGCGTTATAGACAGCCCTCTCTTGTTGATGTAGCACTCGCCTACAGCCCCCACGCGCTGAAAGACACCTTCAACGTGCACCGGCTGAACCTGCAGGTGCGTTATAGACAGCCCTCTCTTGTTGATGTAGCACTCGCCTAAAGCCCCCACGCGCTGAAAGACACCTTCAACGTGCACCGGCTGAACCTGCAGGTGCGTTATAGACAGCCCTCTCTTGTTGATGTAGCACTCGCCTACAGCCCCCACGCGCTGAAAGACGCCTTCAACGTGCACCGGCTGAACCTGCAGGTGCGTTATAGACAGCCCTCTCTTGTTGATGTAGCACTCGCCTACAGCCCCCACGCGCTGAAAGACGCCTTCAACGTGCACCGGCTGAACCTGCAGGTGCGTTATAGACAGCCCTCTCTTGTTGATGTAGCACTCGCCTACAGCCCCCACGCGCTGAAAGACACCTTCAACGTGCACCGGCTGAACCTGCAGGTGCGTTATAGACAGCCCTCTCTTGTTGATGTAGCACTCGCCTACAGCCCCCACGCGCTGAAAGACACCTTCAACGTGCACCGGCTGAACCTGCATGTGCGTTATAGACAGCCCTCTCTTGTTGATGTAGCACTCGCCTACAGCCCCCACGCGCTGAAAGACGCCTTCAACGTGCACCGGCTGAACCTGCAGGTGCGTTATAGACAGCCCTCTCTTGTTGATGTAGCACTCGCCTACAGCCCCCACGCGCTGAAAGACGCCTTCAACGTGCACCGGCTGAACCTGCAGGTGCGTTATAGACAGCCCTCTCTTGTTGATGTAGCACTCGCCTACAGCCCCCACGCGCTGAAAGACACCTTCAACGTGCACCGGCTGAACCTGCAGGTGCGTTATAGACAGCCCTCTCTTGTTGATGTAGCACTCGCCTACAGCCCCCACGCGCTGAAACCACCTTTAACGTGCACCGGCTGAACCTGCAGGTGCGTTATAGACAGCCCTCTCTTGTTGATGTAGCACTCGCCTACAGCCCCCACGCGCTGAAAGACACCTTCAACGTGCACCGCCTGAACTTGCAGGTACTGTTTAGTCACTCGGTGCAGCTTGGTCATTGCGTGATTCTCTGCAACTAGAGCTCTTTCCTGCATCAGTGCGCATACCACGCCTGCATAGTGGCATACAGCTCCCACGCGCTCTAAGACTCCTTCAAAGTGCACCGGCATACAACCCTGTCATACAGCCTTCACTAACTGTCGCCCTCTTGGTCTCCATGGGAATGTGCTTCGATCTTGCTGCTCCTGCTGAGTATTCCTCAACAACTGTCTCCCCTGTGCTTCTTTTTTGCCCTTTTCCCACGCCATGCTTGCCTGTTGCTGCTGCAGGGCGTTGCAGCATCGTTTGGCTTCAGCAGCCCGCCCAAGGTCGTGATCAATATGGATAGCAACACATCCAAGTTCCGTAACAAAGCACACAAAGGAGCCCGAGGCCCGGGGAAATTCAGTGCAAGCGGACATGCCTTCAGTGCAAGTAATCCGTATGGGAAGAGAGGGTCTGACGATAAGAGGCAGTTCACACGGATTTAGCTCATGTGTGTTATGAGTTATTTTGGCAGGGAGATATTTCAAACAAATGAACTGGTCTCTGGTGCTGATGATGATAGCGCTGAACAGGCCCCTAGATTGGTTTTTAGGAGCCCTGATCGCTCAGGATCCCCCCTGAGTTTTTCTCTGATTTTTCAGGGTTGGTCCCAAAAAAATTCCTCGTGAATCAGGACTCCTAAATATTTTTTTCCTGAGCAGACAGAGTTACTTCTGGAGTTTTTCCTGATTTCTTAGAGGTTCTTAGTGATAACGTAGAAACGAATGATTACTAGAGGTGGAAACCTAGAACAAATACTAGTTGGTTGTACTCACTAGAAGCATACCTCAGTCTAGCCTATAACTTCTACATAGATAATATGTATAAGTTGACACACCCCCTAGGCTAGACAAGGGGTGAAACTAAACAAGAAGCAAACAGCTCAGGGCGGCACTACTAGTCCAACCACTGAGGCAGGGGTCTGGAGACCAGTCAGCAAGAATACAACCAAAACTGAAGCAAGCCAGGGTGGCACTACTAGTCCAGCCACTGGAGGTAAGGCCACAAGGCCAGTCTGACAAGCATATATAATAGAGAGTACACAATCAGGATCCTAACAGGGGAGCAGCTACAGGAACAAGACCAAGCTGTACACAGTGCCGCTGATGATCTTTAGGCGCAAGCGCCTTAGTAAAGATATCAGCTGTGTTGGCACCTGAGGCCAAGTGAACTACGCGGGCCTGGCGGCGCTGCTGTAGCTCGCGCAGGAGGAAGTACCGCAGCTGGATATGCTTCGCTCTGCCCTCAAGCCGAGGCTCCTGACACAGGAGTATCATGGCCCTGTTGTCAGCGTACAGGACCGGGGCAGAGCTAGGCCGCTCACCTAAGTCTATGAGCAAGAAGGTCAGCCAGCGGAGCTCCTGTGCCGCCATGGCACCAGCGTAGATCTCAGCCTCACAGCTAGACTGAGCCACAGACGACGAGCGAGTGGATCTCCAAGAGATAGCACCCGAACCAAGGCTGAAACAGTAGCCCTGCGACGACCTGAGCGTCTCAGCGTCGTCTGCCCAAGAAGCGTCTGTGTGCCCAGTAAGGACCACTGGCCTGCGTCCTCCTAGCACTAACCCCATGCCTGATGTACTAGCAAGATAACGCAAAACCCTCTTAGCGGCAGACCAGTGCTGAGGTCGGTGTCTGCCTGTAGCCACAAAGCGAGCCAGGATGCTGAGAGGGTATGCGAGATCTGGGCGAGTGCAAGTCATCAGGTACATGAGGCAACCCACCAGCTCTGCGTAGGGGCCATTGGGCTCTACTGGCTCCTCAGGAACGGGAGCAGAGAGCCCATGGTCTACGGGTAGAGGTGTGGGCTGTGCAGAGGAGAACTGAAGACCGAACCTCTGAAGGACCTGACGCACCAAGTGTGACTGGGTCAGAGTGATGGTGCGTGCTGCTCTGTCCCTAGAGATCTGCAGGCCAAGATAGCGACGCAGCTCTCCAAGGTCAGTGCAGGTGTGTCTCTTCAGCAGCTCAGCCTTCACAGAGGCCAGTGCGTCCCTGTCAGGAGTAGCGAAGACCAGGTCGTCTACGTAGACAAGGATGTAGAACGGAGTCTGGCCGGAACGCACAAACAGTGAAGGGTCAGCAGAGGACGGAAAGAACTGCAGGTCTGCTAACGTGGCACGTAGCGTGTCGTGCCACTCGCGGGGAGCCTGACGCAGGCCGTAGACCGGGCGCCTGAGAAGCCACTGGGTCCCAGGAGGGAAGGTACCAGTGAAGCCCTGTGGTCGGCGCAGGTAGACCTGCTCGTGTAGGCTGCCCTGAAGAAAGGCAGTAGAGAAGTCGAGGGAGTGAAGCTCGTAGTCACGCTGTGCTGCTACGTGTAGCAGCGCCCGAAGAGTGGTCATCTTCGGGGTCGGGGCGAAGGTCTGGAAGAAGTCCACCCCCTCGCGCTGACTGAAACCTCTGGCCACGTAGCGCGCCTTGAAGACAGGCGGCTCTCCAGGGGGGCGCTTCACCTTGAAGAGCCACCGACCATCGACTACGTTCACCCCAGGCGGGGGAACTGCGTCGACGTAAGTGCTGGTGGATCTCCAAGATGCCATCTCCTGCTCCATGGCAGCTATCCACTGAGAGGCCCAAGGTCCCGAGGTGGCCTCAGCGTAGGTGCGAGGGGTCGGGATGTCGAAGGCGTGTGGGTCACCCTCAGGGACTAACAGCATGGAGCAGAGATGGGGAGCAGCCTCGGAAAGGAAAGCCAGCTCGTACTGCCTGTCCTCTAGGACGTCACTGCCAAGGGCAGGAGCACCCCCGACGGACGGAGGACGGGCAGGGTCCGAGACCAGAGCGGTAGCGTAGTCAAGGCGGCGGGTAGAAGCGAAGTCAGCGACAGCAGCGACAAGCGCGTCAAGGCGCGAGACAGGAACAGTAGGGTCGGTAACAAGAGAGGCAAGGACCCGAGGGACAAGGGGACGAGCAGAACGGAGGTAGTCAGAGAACGGAGGAGGTGCAACAGCAAGGGACGAGGGAGGAGGGGACGGGAGGAGGGGAGGACGAGACGAGTGGGAACGGAGCAACATAGGGTGGGTGGGCAGGACAGGAGAGACGGGACGAGCACGGGAGGGACGGCGAGCCCAAACGTGAGACGGAGGGGTAGGGTCAGGGGACAGCGGAGGAGACACAGGAGGGGAACGAGGAGGAAGACGGGCCGGAGACGAGTCTGGCGGCGGGAACACAGGACCGTAGACAGGAAGGTCAGGAGGCGGTGGGGGAGACACCGGCGCGCGGTCCGGGGAGGGAAGGCCGAGCAGGCGGAGAGCGGAAACCGGCGGCGACGGCTGCTGCGGCGGCGACGACGGCTGGGCCGGAACTCTCGGACCAGCAGAGGCAGAACGACCGTCGGCAGAACACTCAACAGCAGCACCCCCAGAACCAACACCCCCAGAGCGAGAACCCCCTCCAACACCAGCGGCACCCCCAGAAGCCGCAGGACGAACACCCTCCTCCACACCAGCACCCCCAGGGGCCGAGAGCAGCGGCGGCAGTGGCGGCAACGGCTGCGGCAGCGACAGCGGCGGCGGCGGCGACGACAGCGGCGACGGCTGCGGCGGCGACGGCGACGGCGGCGGCAGCGGGGTCGGCGACTGCGACAGTGGGGGCGGAGGCACCGGGGAAGGGGGACGCGGCAAGGACGGACCGGGGGTACCACCAGAGTCAGCAGACTCCTCAACGGGGACAACCGACGGGAGGGGAGTGACGTGGGAGACACCAGACGGGGCAGGACGAGGCGGGAGAGGGGCAGGGGCTACCGGGGGAGAGGGAGCAAGGAAAAGGGGGGGGGCAACTGGGAGACCTCGGTGAGGGAAGCGGCGGTAGAAGGAGACGGACTCGTCAAAGGTGACGTCACGAGAGTGGAGGAAGCGGTGAGACGGCGGGTGGTAGAAAAGCCAGTCAGACGAGTCCAGGGGGAAACCGAGGAAGACACAGGGGACAGTGCGGGCAGTGAGCTTGTCCGTGCCAGAGGCACGAACGTGAGCAAGGCAGCCCCAGACGTGGAACGCAGACGCGTCACCGGGGGACCCGGTCCAAAGGAGGGTCGGCGAAACCTGCGGCCGCTGGGAGCGTGGCCACAGGTTAAGCTGGTGAGCCGCGTAGCGAACAGCGAACGGCCACAGAAAATGGGGGGCATCGGCATGGATCATGGAGGTACGGGCGACCTCCATGACCAAGCCGATGCGGCGCTCAGCAACCCCATTCTGCTGTGGCGAGTCCGGCAACGTGTACGACTGGGTGATGCCCTCCGCACGACAGAACTGTCCAAGCCGACCAGAGGCGAACTCGCCGCCACGGTCGGAGTGGAGACACAACACGGGGAGACCGCGGTGGAGACGCGCAGCCACAACCCACGGGAGAAGAACGTCGGGCACGTCGGCCTTCCGCTCCAGGGGAAACACCGTGGTGTAGCGCGTGTAGTCGTCGACGAGCACAAGGAAGTAGCGCTCACCGCGCGGTCCGGGGACGGGGGCAGGGCCCCAAACGTCCAAGTGCAGGGTCTGAAGGGGGGCAGTAGCAGGACGCAGCGAGGAGGAGTGAGGAGCACGGCGGAGCCGACCCTCGACGCAAGGCGTGCACGGTGGCGCAGTCGAGGGAGGAAGGGCAGGGAGCGACGCGGGGAGACCTAAGACAAGACCGTGCTGGGACATGTGACGCAGACGCGGGAGAGCAGGGTGACCTAAGCGGTGGTGCCAGAGAAGGGAGGGGTGAGTGAGGGACCGACACGAGCAAGCTGCAGCGACCTGGGAGGACGCACCAACCGGGGGGGAAGCGGTGTGTAGGGTAAACAGACCGGACACCGGGTCCCGGGGGAACGTCGCAAGGGGGGAACCTGAGACAGCCTCAGAACAGACAGCGAACCGCTCGTGCCCGGGGAACGTGGTGGTGACGCCGAGGTCCTGGAGACAGCCGACACCAACCAGGTTCCTGGAGAACGAGGGAACGTGGAGGCCAGTAAGGGAGCCCGAGGGAACTGCCGGACAAGGAAGGGACGTAGAACTGCGCGCGACGACCGGACCCGCAGAGGGGTCAGCGAGAGAGACAACAGCAGGTGCAGCAAGCGGCGTGAGCGTGGAACGGTCGCGGAAGAAGCAGGCAGAAGCACCAGAGTCGAGAGTGAAGGACAGCGACGCAGTGGCGGAGGCCGGGGACGGAGCCGGTGCAGCGACTAGACTAGGCAACCTAGGCAGTCCTACGCCTGTCGCAGCAGGGGAAGCTAAGCTACACAAGGGTGAAACACCTAAACTAGAGTACACAGGGTAGTAAGATCCAGCAACACTAGAAGCGTCAGCATACAAAGCATGCAAAGCAGCACCTATCTGATCCATGTCTAACTCAAAGATCGGCACGCCCTGGCGGAGCAGGCTGTGCCAGTCAGGGAGGTCCGGGGCCGGGCCAAAGCGACGACGAAAAAGATCGTCGAGGCGGCGGAAACAGCGGGCGGTCGGGTGCGGGCGGCGGCACAGAGTGCCGCGGAGAGGCCCGGTCTGAAGCTGGTACTGGCAGGTCACAGCACTGGAGCCGCTGGTAGACGCCAAGCTGCGCGGGCCGCCACCACGGCCACCGCCTCCGGAGGTGCCGGGCCAACCAGGCGGGAGACGAGCCCACGGCTGCGGCGGGTGCTGCTGGGACGGCGGCTGCGGCTGGGGCTGGTCCTGCTGCTGCTGGGGCTGCTGCTCCTGCCCACCGGTGGTAGTCCCCTCAGGCGGACTACCGTCACCACCACCACGACCACTACCACCTGCGTCACCACCCCTACCTCCCTGGCGGCCACGGCCACCGCGACGCGAGCGCTGCTGCGGGTGGACAGCAGCAGCCGTCTCGGTAAGAGGGGTCGCCGTGGCGACCGCAGCCGAAACGTCAGTGAACGTGCACTGGGATGGGGCACAGCCGTGAAAGATAGAGACTGCCGGCGCACCGCTCGACTGAGCGATAGTGCGCTGGCGAGTCTCGATCTCAGTGAGGGTGTCGACAAAGGCGGTCAGGGTGAGGTCACCCGGGTGCTGGCTAAGAAAGTGGTCGCGAGCACTAGCGAGGCGGTCTGGCAGGCGCATAGCGATAAAATAGAGCGTCATGCAGAAAGGAGGGGGGAGCGCAGTGAGCTGGGCAGCAGTGCTGGCAGTGCGATAGCGAGTCTCTAGGGCACGCAAATGAGTGGCAAAGTCTGCGACAGTAGGGAAGGCAGCCAGGTCTGGGAACAGCATCGGAAAGAGCAAGCGGCCAGCAGAAGCGGAGGCAGGGGTGGAATAGCGAGCAATAACGGCGTCTAAATAAGCTTTGGCCGTTTCAACAGTAGCAAAACGCGAGCGCTCAGACACAGGGAGGGCTTGACTAATAGCAACCTGAGCTACTGCATCGCGTGAGTCCCAGACCGCACAGGCCAGCGCAGCAGTAGAGAAAGCCTCACGGGCATCAGAGGAGGGGTCAGCAGGGAGGGGAGTAGGTGCAGGGGGACGGGGGAGCAAGCCATCAGCATGGACAACCAGAGAGTGGCCATCCTGGCGCTGACCTGTAAGCTGGCGGCGGAGATCGGAGAGCCAGGCGGCGAAGTCAACCGCGTGGCCCTCAGCGTCCAGGCGGAGCACAAAGTCAGCCATCGTGCAGGGTCAGCGGCACAGCTCCTCAGCGACACAGCGGCACAGCAGCACAGCTCCTCAGCGGCACAGGAGCACAGCGGCGCGGGGACACGGCGGCAGCACTCTCCAGTAGGGCAGCAGCTAGGCGTCCCAGCGCAGGCGAGCAGAAGACACAGGGCCCGAGAGGACACGGCAGGCCGAGCAGGGGAGGCGGGCAGGTGCTCTGGGGCCGGGCTGGTGCTGGGAGGGGCCAGGCTGGTGCTGCTGGGGCCGGTCGGGCACGAGGAGGGGCCGGGCAGCGCTGAGGAGAGGCCGGGCGGCGCTAGGAAGGGGCCGGGCGGCACTAGGAGGAGGCCGGGCGGCACTAGGAGGAGGCCGAGCGGCACTAGGAGGCCAGGCAGGCGAGCGCTAACAGCAGGCGCGACAGGGGCCAGCGGGCGCGACGAGGCCTAAGGGGCGCGACGGGGCCCAGCGGGCACGACGGGGCCCAGGGGGGGCGCGACGGGGCCGAGGAGGCGCGACGGGGACCAGCGGGCACGACGGGGCCCAGGGGGGCCACGACGGGGCCTAACGGGCGCGACGGGGCTCAGGGGGGGCGCGACGGGGCCTAGTAGGCGCGACGGGGCCTAGGAAGCGCGAAGGGGCCCAGCGGGCGCGACGGGGCCTAGGAGGCGCGACAGGGCCCAGCGGGCGCGACGGTGCCCAGAGGGGGCGCGACGGGGCCTAGGAGGCGCGACGGGGCCCAGCGGGCACGACAGGGCCTAGGAGGGGCGCGACGGGGCCGAACGGGCGCGACGGGGCCCAGAGGGGGGGGGACGCGACGGGGCTTAGGAGGCGCGACGATGCCTAGGAGGCACGACGGGGCTCAGCGGGCTCGACGGGGCCCATGGGGGGCGCGACGGGGCCTAGGAGGCGCAACGGGGCCCAGCGGGGGCGCGTTAGGGCCTAGGGGTCGCGACGGGGCCCAGCGGGCGCGACGGGGCCCAGGGGGAGCGCGACGGGGCCTAGGAGGCGCGACGGGGCCCAGCGGGCACGACGGGGCCCAGGGGGGGCGCGACGGGGCCTAACGAGCGCGACGGGGCCCAGGGGGGGCGCGACGGGGCCTAGGGGGCGCGACGGGGCCTAGGAGGCGCGACGGGCGGAAGCGGTAGGCGGGGGGATCCTAACCTAAGCGTGATACCATGATAACGTAGAAACGAATGATTACTAGAGGTGGAAACCTAGAACAAATACTAGTTGGTTGTACTCACTAGAAGCATACCTCAGTCTAGCCTATAACTTCTACATAGATAATATGTATAAGTTGACACTTAGCGCATGCTTTAGTAGCGAATTTATGCTTGCAGGGTGAATCGGGTCAGGTGGGCGACATTGCAGGGGCTGAGGGAAATTTCGCCCATACAAAGCTCTAAGGAACACATCGGGCCCAAAATTTGGCTAAGGACCAAGTGCCCTCCCTCACACTGCCCCCACGCGTCGAGCCACGAATTTGGTGAAGGGCCAATAAGCGCCCACACAGAGCCTGGAGGGCGGGCCAGAACCTTGGAAATCTCTGCTGGCCCCCAGGTCACGCTTGGACGGAAACAAGTACAGTTTCGTTGCAAAGCTGAAATTTTCGTTAAGAAAACTTTGCTTAGCAATCAGAGTTGACCCCCCAAAAAATGCTGAAAAAACAGGAAATGCCTTTCGAAAAATCCTGGACAATCAGGACTGGTACCAGCAACAACTCTGTTTTTTTCCTGAATCAGGAAAATTTTCCTGCAATCTAGGGGCCTGGCGCTGAACCTGGCTAAGAGGTGGTGTTCCAGTATATTGGTACAAATTGTTAGGTAGCATGAGGCTCATGTACTTTGTAAGGTGTTCAAGAACTGTACAAGTGATACAGTAAAATATGCTACAGTTCGTGCACGGTTCACCTGGATTTGTGTCTCGTCCATTTCCGTTCCCAGGCCCACCCAGGTCGCACAATAGAACCTCACGTGGAGAAATGCTCCCACACTCCGCCCACAGCGCAATTTGCCAGCCTGCATTTCCAAACCAGAACCAGAGTGATGAGACACAAATAATATCGCCTTCGATAAAGTGTCAGACAAAAAAAAATCATAATTGCGGCGCCCGCTCCAAAAGCGGGGACAGGTCAATGAAGAGGCGGTGGGGAAATCGAACTGCTTCTGACGCTGATCGTCACTGAAACCAGTTTGACGTCAGACGTTTTAGCTAAGCATTGTTCTTTATCAGTGCCTCCCTCACATCAACTCGCATTCACGCGCAGCATCACCCGATGATATCCCTACTGGAACTAGAGCGCGTCTCTAGCTGGAAAAGTGTCACATAGCAGCGTGTCACGGAATCGTTTTCCGGGGGGGGGGGGGGGGGAGGGGAGGGGGGGTGGGGCTGTGTAGGTTCGACATAATTCTTGACACTGCTGCCGCTGCAGACGAGCCCTAACCTTTGTACGGACAAAATCGCGAAACGGCGGACTCACCTGCCCCGGGGCCCCAATCCCAAAGCAAACGCTTTCGTCTGCCGGTACAGCAGCACCCCTAACGTCGAGGTTCCTATCCGATCATATCTGCAAAGCACATCGCATCGCCGTACTGTACTGTACTGTCTGAACCGAGCCCACCAGGACTTGGGAAACTTCTTCACCTGCTTCCTAGCATTGTTCGACAGAACCGTACTGTACACATTCGCTCTCCCCCCCTCCACCACCAGCTCGATTCCTCCCTCTCATCAGCTCGGGTCGGGTCTCCCTCAATCGCGTACAATATCGTCAGTAACTGAGTGGCGGCGATTTCCCGCCCAGCCTTTCCCGTCAATCCCCTGGTTCTGTACTGCAGCAGCTTCTAGGTTCACTCCATGGGGTCTAGAGAGTAACCTCCTTTTAGGGGCAGTTGCCCAACAACCATCCGCAACTGACGGATTTGAATGCTCGTAGAGCAGCAGCTGGCACCAGAACCACTTGCACGTCTCCCTCTCCCATAGTCACTGCCTCCTCCAACCCTCCCCAATCGCCATTTCCAAGGATCGGGGTGTGGTACATAGGGTTCCAGAACCACCCTTGTCCAAAATGGGTTAAACAGGTTACCAACACCGTCCAAACAAGGGTGTCCGGACGGTCGTCGGAACGGCCTCCCCACCACTTCCGAATAGTCTGGCCAAACCCTTCTGGCGAAAAGGACGTAATATAGGCGCTGTCACCCTATGCGTGAAGACTGAAGCGCGAAAGAAATTGGTCATTAGCCAATCAAAACTGCACTGACGAATTTCTGCAACCCAAATCCCGGGCAACGAAAACACTTTCTCGATAGTCGCGATGTGTGGCGACAGATGTTTCGCGTAACTCTGGTTGGGGGTCGTCCGCAATGTTCGTGTCGTTCGCCATTTCGCGTGGCTTTGAAAATTCAAACACCATCCCCACCGTCCGAACGTAGTGAGATTTTCAGGCAGTCTTGAGTTCGGAACTGGATGTACCATGTTCGTCCTTATAGTTTCGCCACCGTTTCCAGATTTCAGTTCTGTGATTGGCAAGTCGGAACTGTATGTACCACGCCCTTAGCAGTTTCTCTCAACTGCAAGCAGTCTGACCCAGACTTTGACTCGGTCGTAAAACGAGCTGTTACGCCATGGCCTGTGGGTTGTATCACTCCCTCCACGCCGCTGTCCTATCCACTTCCAGCTCAGTCCCTCTCCCCGCCGATCCATCTCCATGGCACTATTGCTGACATTCACCCAGCTTCAATCCTCATGATTCCCAATTTGCTGACATTCTCGGAATAAGAGTTGGCCTCCCAGAGTCGTAAGTTTATCTTCACACGCAAAGCAGCCTGGGTAGCCGGTCACTACCCGGTACTCTGTTCCAAAGCCGCAGTCTGGAGCATGGATCCGTGCGCGGAACGCGTGGCTATGACTGCTACCACTTCTACTAACGCGTGCGAGTCGCTGCGCGACAGCGTTGAGTCGCCGTGCGACAGCGACGCCAATTCGCTGGAGCGAATCGTTGGGGCTTCTTCGGGTGCCGCGGCTGCTGCCAGCAACGAAACCACTCCTGTACCAGATCGCACCGCGAACTGCGGCGGAACGTGGGCGACGCGGAAGCTCAAGTGCGGCTCGCTGCGCCTCGACGTGACCCTCGAAGTAGACGACCCCGATGTTGCCGGTGTCGTCGACAGTTTCGGCAGTGCCGCCGCCGGTGGTGATTCGGACGTTTGCAGTTGCATTGCCGCCAATCACGCCGCCAATGACGGTCATTTCTCATTCGAGATGCCGCAGCAGACGACGGCATCGATGGCGACGTCTGCGGTGCCGTCCTTGTCGCCCACGATCGCGTGGTCGTCGCGCGCGCGACAGTTCCGCAAGTCGTCCTCGGCGTCGTCCGCTCCTCTCTCCGTCGCCGGCGGCAGCGGCACCAGCAATGCCTTCCGCGACGCCGCCGCTGCGGCCAGCGCATCGACCACAAGGCTCGCAACCGGCGCTTCCCCGTTCCCGCGAGTTGCTTCCGCCGGCGCCGCGTTCGTCAAGCCACCGCGCAGCCCAATGGGTTCCGCCAATCCCTTCCCTGCTGTCACATCGCGTACAGTCACACCCGGCAGTGTCATCTCCCCCAACACCCCCTCGTCCTCCGCGCCGAGCCATCGCAAGGCGTCTGGGGCTCACGGGAAGCCCCAGCGCAACTCACCCTCCACCCAGCTCGCGGAATTTGCCCGCGGGGTCCTTCTGTCCCCTGCTAGCAGACGCGCCGATACGAGCGCCACATCTCCTCTCACAGGCGCTCCGTTTTCCCCTGCCAGCAGAGCCGTTGGGAGTCCTCCCAGTAGCCGCAGCGGCACTTCTCCCAGCGTGAAATCCGCAGCGTCGAGCCCAATCTCTGTGGTGAGGCTGAGCAGGCGCGTGGGGTTCGTCAACTGGCGCCACCTGCGTCATCCCCACACCGCCCCGGCGTCACCGCACTCCGCCTCACCGCACTCCGCGTCACCGCATTCCGCGTCTGGAGCAGTTTGTGGCCGTGGCAACGGGGACCATAATAATGATTCTTCAAACGGCAGGCCTACGTGCGTTGCTCCCTCACCCAAAAGCATGGCGTTGCCGCTGCTGCCACAACCACCCCTTGATCCGTTCTCCTTCCGCTCACATTCTGATTACTCCAGCCAATCAGAGCGACCTGCTGGACTCGCCCAGCCATCAGTCTCTCCGCAGGCACACCATCCTGTATCCTCGTCACAAGCATCTTCGTTAGAGTCTCCAGCAGACACTTCTCGTTCCAACTCAGCATTTTCTTTCAGGTCTCTCTCGGCAGAACTCAGCCCTTCTGCCATCCTGACCTGCTACAACCTGTCGCCGCTGTCACAGCCTGCGAACCTGCGCGTGTTCATCCCGTTACAGTCAACCCCCCTGTCCCCTCTTCTGTCACCCACGCTCTCCCCTCTTTCTGCATCGCTCTCTGCTACCCCATCCTCCTCGCCACTCCGTAGCGCACTCAAGCGCTCGCCCACATCGAACCACTCCTGTGATGGTGGTCGAGGACAGGGACTGGAAATGGATTTTGTGTGTGGGACAGACGGGCATGGAGGATCGATGAAAGGGTTTGGAGTGCAAGGTGGTCTGTGTGGAGCTGATGCTGGCTGCTCTCCAGCATTTGCAGCAGGAACGTTGAAGCGGAGGGTGTCGTTTTCAGACAATCTCCATGTGATCTGCTTATAAAGCATTGGTGGTGTTGGAATTCATTAGTCCCTCTAGATGCTGGATCCCCAGTGTTTGCGTCTTCTTTTCCCGGAATGTGATGGGCTCTCGGTGTATCGTTTTCCCCGCATTCACGTGCCCGTGTTGACTTGTCGCACTTCTTGGCAGTGTACTTGGTGCAATGTTGTACTTTGGGGTTGCATTTCTATCAGGTGGTATACAGAGAAGTGTAGCAGTATCAAATTGAACGACTGGTTCCCTTTCCGCGGTGTTATGAATTAATCAGAGTAATAACAGGTAGTGTAATAAAAGAGTCGTGATTCAAGAGTCGTCAATACAAATGAGGACCTAGGCATTTATAGGCATAACAGGGCTAGCCGAGAACCTCGCAAACAGGTTAGGGCGATTCGACTGGCGAAAGCCACGGAGGCGCCGCGCATTAGGTTTGGGTTTACGAAATGGTTCGGGACTGAGGAAAATGGCCGGGCCTGGTCTTCCGAGGGTCGAGGGCGTACGCGCTGTAGTTGAGCCCAGTAAGGAAAAGGAATTTTCCTTACACCACCCCCCCTTCCGAGATGAGACTACCCACATCCGGGACACGTCGTCGGTGTAAATAGTCCCTGACAACCAGGCCCCTAGATTGCAGGAAAATTTTCCTGATTCAGGAAAAAAACAGAGTTGTTGCTGGTACCAGTCCTGATTGTCCAGGATTTTTCGAAAGGCATTTCCTGTTTTTTCAGCATTTTTTGGGGGGTCAACTCTGATTGCTAAGCAAAGTTTTCTTAACGAATCCTGAAATTTCAGCTTTGCAACGAAACTGTACTTGTTTCCGTCCAAGCGTGACCTGGGGGCCAGCAGAGATTTCCAAGGTTCTGGCCCGCCCTCCAGGCTCTGTGAGGGCGCTTATTGGCCCTTCACCAAATTCGTGGCTCGACGCGTGGGGGCAGTGTGAGGGAGGGCACTTGGTCCTTAGCCAAATTTTGGGCCCGATGTGTTCCTTAGAGCTTTGTATGGGCGAAATTTCCCTCAGCCCCTGCAATGTCGCCCACCTGACCCGATTCACCCTGCAAGCATAAATTCGCTACTGAAGCATGCGCTAAGAACCTCTAAGAAATCAGGAAAAACTCCATAAGTAACTCTGTCTGCTCAGGAAAAAAATATTTAGGAGTCCTGATTCACGAGGAATTTTTTTGGGACCAACCCTGAAAAATCAGAGAAAAACTCAGGGGGGATCCTGAGCGATCAGGGCTCCTAAAAACCAATCTAGGGGCCTGCTGACAACTTTGTGTTCACCGAGCATAGCTGCGGGGACCCAGAGGTCGTCATCAATCGTGCGATCGAACCATCGTACAAGGAAATCAACGGCAGCTGTATCGCGAGAACCTCGTACGCGATGAGCGAGAATTTTCGATGGCTCGATCGTCGGCTCGGGTACTGGGTTGACCGTAGGATTGATATGTTGACGGTCGAGATCAGTTGTATTCGGGACGAACGGTCGCAGGAGGCTGACGTGGAATGAATCGTGAATGCGCCAGTCAACCGGTAGTTGCAGCTGGGCGGTGACGGGAGTCACCATGCGGATTATGCGGAATGGGCCGCAAAATCTTGGTCGTAGTTTATTTGGGAGGGGAATCCCTAAATTTCGAGTGTCGAGCAGGACCAATTGCCCAGGGGCAAGGTGTAAGTCACGGCGTCGTCGGTCAGCTTGATGCTTGGCCCGTTGGTTGGCTTTGAGGATGGCATCGGCAGCTTTTTGCTGAGACTGTCGGAGGTTTTCGACGAATTGCTGCGATCTGGGTGCCGGATTTTCTATCGGTGGCGATAGAGGGGTTGTCGGGTCTATCCCGTAATTAAGGAAGAACGGGGACTGAGTAGTCGTGGCTGATGGGGCGTTGTTGTACGCAAACTCTATCAGTGGAAGAGAATCTTCCCACTGGGCCGGGTCTGTGCAAGTTGTACGAATCAGCTGCTCCATCGTCTGATTGGTGCGCCCAGTCTGGCCGTCCGATTGCGGGTGGTATGCCGTGGGCAGATGTAGACGTGTGCCGTACTGCTGCCAGGTTTTTGTCCAGAAATTGGACGTGAACCGAGGGTCGCGATCGCTGATGATTGCCGAAGGGATGCTGTATAGCCGCACGATGTTCGTGAGAAACAGCTTCGCTGTCTGCTCGGCAGTGATTGTCGTCTTGCAGGCGGCGAAGTGTGCCATTTTGGTCAAACGGTCAACGACGACGAGAATCGCGTCATTACCGCTTGGACCAGCTGGCAGGCCAGTGACGAAATCCATCGTCACTTGTTGCCAGGGTCGGCTGGGTGGCTCGAGCAGCTGCAGTAATCCCGCGGGTCGAAGTCGTGACGACTTCATGCGTTGACACGTGGCGCAGGAGGTGACGTACTGCTGCACGTCCGTCGGCAAATCGGGCCAGTAATAATTACGGCTCAGTAGTTTGGCCGTTTTGTCGATGCCGTAGTGACCCGAGAAATTCGAGTCGTGTGCCTCCTGTATCAGTAGCTCACCTAGGGTACAGTAAGCGGGAACCCAAATCCGATTGGTACCAGATTTTAGGTAATAAGCCCCCTGCTTGACTGTCAGTTGGGGATGACTGTTAGTCGTGAAGAATGGGTCGGTACTGTATCCGTGGGTAAATAGTCCAGTTAGCAGCGGATTTGTTAGGGTGATTAGGACAGCGGCGGTATGTACTGAAGGGCGGGTCAGTGCGTCGGCGATGTTGCTGGCCCCTCGTTTGTAGGTGACTCTGTAGTGGAAATTCGACTCGAGATAATCGAGCAAGCGAATCTGTCGGGGGTTGAGTGTCAGTTGGGCGCGGATGAACTGTAGCGATTTGTGGTCTGTTCGGACTGTCACATCAGCGCCCGTCAGGTAGCAGCGCCAAACCTTGAACGCGTGAACGATGGCGAGTAACTCCTTGTCGTGGACGGGATAATTTCGCTCGGCCGGATTCAGCTTTCGTGACTCGTAGGCGATGGGTTGAAGGCCTTCGCCGAAGTCCTGTAACAGTACTGTGCCAACAGCCAGGTCGCTAGCGTCGGTGATGAGTTCGAACGGACGGTGAGGATCTGCAATGCGAAGAACCGGAGGTGTTGTCAGGAAAAGTTTGAGTTGGTCGAACGCAGCCTGCTGCTCTCCCCCCCACTCATAAAACTTGCCTTTCTTCAGAAGATCCGTGAGAGGGGAAGTTACCCCCACCATGTTCGGGATGAATCGGCGAACGTAATTCACAAACCCCAGGAAACTTTGAAGTTCGCGGAGATTAGCCGGCGACTTCCAGGCTTGTATGGTCGCGATTTTTTTCGGGTCAATTTTAACACCGTCGATGGAAATAACGTGTCCCAAAAACTCCAGTTCTTGTTTCTGAAACTCACACTTAGAACCCTTGGTGATGAGTCGATGCTGCTGCAGGAGAGCGAAGACTGCTTCCAAATCCCTCAAATGTGCTTCCCGGGTAGTGCTGTATATCAGGATGTCGTCGAGGTACACAATGACGCATTTATCCAGCAGCGGCCGAAAAAATTCGTTCATGGTTAACTGGAATGTTGAAGGCGCGTTGGTTAAGCCAAAAGGCATGACCGTGTACTCGTAACTCCCGTATCGGGTTCGGAACGCCGTCTTGTAGCAGTCAGCTTCGTTGACACGGATCTGGTGGTAACCGCCTCGCAGGTCAATTTTCGAAAAGAACTTTGCCCCACGAAGTTGGTCGATGAGTTCGTCGGCACGCGGAATAGGATAGCGAGACTTGATGGTAACCCGGTTCAAGGCGCGGTAGTCAATGCACATTCGTAGACCGCCATCTTTCTTCGGGGTGAACAGTATCGGAGCTGCGAACAATGAAGTACTGGGGCGATCGAAACCTTTCTCGAGCAGGTAATCCAGCTGGCGTCGAAGTTCATCCAGCTCTGGCTGAGTCAGCCTCCACTGTGTTCGAACCGTTGGTTGCGCGCCGGGCTCCGACTGGATTTTATGGTCGTGGTCTCGCTCGGGTGGCAATCTTGGCGGTAGGTCGTCCGGAAAGATGTCGGCATGCTTGCGGATCAATGTCGCCAAGTCGTCGGGGACTGCCGCGCAGAGTTTGTCGATGTCGGCCGGTGCGCTGACAGCCGTGGATGCGATCCATCGGACGGCATACAGTTGTGCTCCGCGAATCATCGCTCGCTTGATAGTAACCGCGCTGACTGTCGCAGAATCTGGATTGTTCCACTTCAGAAGTCGACGCCACTCGCCACTCCATTTGATTCGACAGTCACCCGTCCGCCAATTGATGCTCGGGTTGTACTCGCGCAGCCAATCGCGTCCCAGCAGCATGTCGCAGCCGTCCAACGTTGTCGCCAGCATCTTCGTCGTAAAGCTGAAATTTTCGCCGCATGTAACTCGCACGTGAGGTACTCGCTCCCGAATTGCCAGGGGTGTGTCATCGACCAATCGCGCGTCGATTTCAGGCAGACACCGCTCCAGTTGCAGTCGCAATTTTCTCGCTTTCGTCACATCCATTAAACTGTGGCTTGCCCCGCCATCAACAAATATTTTTATGCGGGTATCACCAACTCTCTCTTCAACCAGCACAGGGTGGTCAACCGGTTCACCCCCCTTATTCAGCCAGGAATGGTCGATAGCCCAAATCGGCACTATAACCTGGTGGGGGTGGTGGCGTTTGGGCGACGCAGTCAAGTCAGTAGGTGGCCCATCTGCTACTGACGATCTCCATTTCCCGACTGCTTCTTGTCGTTAGGTAAGTTCTTCTTCAGCTGCGGGCAGTCCCTCACCATGTGACCCGGCTGGTTGCAGTGGAAGCAGGTCCCCGAAAATACTCGGGCTGCAAACACGTCCACGCCGTTGATTGATGTGTGTTGGGGCTAGCCTCGAAAGCGATTTCCCTCCCGGAAACCCGCTCTCGCGAGTCCACGTCGCGCGTCCAGCGCATCCACCATGCGAACAATCTCGTTGAAGGTCGTCGGGGCTCGCAGGACGATTTCTTGTTGAATCTCCGGTTTGAGTCCGCCCACGTAGCGATCGATTTTCTTGTCCTCGCTGATCCCTCCGATTTGGTCGCAGATGGCCAGAAACGATGCCGTGTATTCTTGGACTGGGCCCAACTGTCTCCACATCCGAAGCTTTGTGCGAGCATTTTCGCGCATGGATATGTGCTCGAATCTGCTTTTCAACGCTTCGCCCCACGCTTTCCACGTGCGGATCATGGTCGAGACAAAGATTGGTTCTGCCGTTGCCGTTGATGAACTCATCTCCCCAGCTGCCGCCCGTTGATTCCCTGCCGGAGCTCCTCCCTCGTCAAGATGCATGCGCCACCAGTCGAGTGCCGGTCCCCTCAGCAGCGACACAGCCAAGTTGACACGTGAGGCGTTGTCATTAATACTTGCTGCCGTGAAGAAGATTTCCATGGCGAACAGCCACCCGCTCACGGTGGTCGTCATGTGTGTCGGGTTGAACGGTGGGGGCATGGGAGGCTTGATTTTAATGGCCGTCCGCGGTTCGCTTTGGATTTCTTCAACTGCTTCAGGTGTCGCCGACGCCTTCGCTTCGCTCGAAACATCCTCGTCTCAGGTTACAGGCCGCTCCTGACGCGATTCACCCCGCGTCTGGCGAAATGACGAGTTTTCGTTGCGCAGCGACTGAACTTCGCTTCCCAGCGACTTGAATTTATCCGCGAGTTGTTGAAGTTGGGCCTGTAGTGTTGTCACTGTAGCCGCCCTGGCTTGCAACTCGTCAAACTCCTCCTGAGTCACGTTCCTAACACTACGACGGGCAGAGGTTTCCGGCGTGCTAGTCATGCTGGAAATTTTACCTGACAGATCTGAGGGTGCACACGCTTTTAGTTGGAGGAGCTTTAACGAGCTCGCCTACCAACTGCTGGCCAACCCTCTATTCTGTCGGGTCCTCTCCCGATATAAACGGACTACTTTACGGAAGACTAAGCGGGCAGGAACGGGGCTCTGATACCAGCTGTTATGAATTAATCAGAGTAATAACAGGTAGTGTAATAAAAGAGTCGTGATTCAAGAGTCGTCAATACAAATGAGGACCTAGGCATTTATAGGCACAACAGGGCTAGCCGAGAACCTCGCAAACAGGTTAGGGCGATTCGGCTGGCGAAAGCCACGGAGGCGCCGCACATTAGGTTTGGGTTTACGAAATGGTTCGGGACCGAGGAAAATGGTTGGGCCTGGTCTTCCGAGGGTCGAGGGCGTACGCGCTGTAGTTGAGCCCAGTAAGGAAAAGGAATTTTCCTTACACGCGGAGTGGTTGAACGAGTTTTGTCTGTCCCGCGTTACAATCACTTGGCGGTCCCACGACGGGAGATTTGCTCCTGACCAGGGCTTATGTTAGGTTTTTGAACAACTCTGGCGCTCAGGGCTCCCTTCAAAATTCTCCCTAAAAACCCAGGGTCCGAATCTGCACTGCCCTTTGTTTTTAGGGCCAGCAGAATAAATGCTCGGAGGACGCACATTTTCAAGGATCTTACTTGAGATTCTTCCACGCTCTGTGGTTGGGTACTAGGAGGAGGACGGGTGTTAGGAGAGCGGGAGAAACTTGTATTCTAGGGAGGGCACTGGAAGGGGGGGTGTAGGTAGTGAAAAAAATTAGGGTCGCTGAAAAATCTCCTCGGATTTTTCAGGGTCGCTATGAAAACTTCCCAGATTCTGTCAGGGCTGGTTCAAAAAGAACCTGGAACCTATCAAACAGTGAAATTGATGAATAGAGAGAGAGAGTACACAAACATATACCTAACTGTTGTACTCTCTAGAAGATGACCCTATACAGTCTATACAAGCATGATAACTAAACATGTTTGACACACCCCCTGGACTGCATAGGGGAATGTTCTAGACAAGCAGCTCAGGGTGGCACTACTAGTCCAGCCTCTGAGACAAGGGTCTAAAAGACCAGTCAGAAGGAGTACAGGCAAGGCAAGAACTAGTACAGGGCGGCACTACTAGTCCAACCACTGTAAGAGGACACAAGTCCAGTCTGAGTGTACACACAGATATATAGGACAGTACAGAGTCAAGGCCCGAGTAAGTGAGAGACTACAGGAACCAGACCAAGCTGCACACAGTGCCGCTGATGATCTTTAGGCGCAAGCGCCTTCGTAAAGATATCAGCTGTGTTGGCACCGGAGGCTAAGTGTACTACGCGAGCCTGGCGACGCTGCTGTAGCTCACGCAGGAGGAAGTACCGCAGCTGGATGTGCTTCGCTCTGCCCTCGAGTCGAGGCTCCTGACACAGGAGGATCATGGCCCTGTTGTCAGCGTACAGGACCGGGGCAGAGCTAGGCCGCTCACCTAAGTCAGTGAGCAAGAAGGTCAGCCAGCGGAGCTCCTGTGCCGCCATGGCACCGGCGTAGATCTCGGCCTCACAGCTGGACTGGGCAACAGACGAAGAGCGGGTAGCTCTCCACGAGACAGCACCTGAACCAAGGCTAAAGCAGTAGCCCTGGGAAGACCTGAGCGTCTCGGCGTCGTCTGCCCAAGAAGCGTCTGTGTGTCCAGTAAGGACCACTGGCCTGCGTCCGCCTAGCACTAACCCCATGCCCGATGTACTTGCAAGATAACGCAAAACCCTCTTAGCGGCAGACCAGTGCTGAGGTCGGTGCCTGCCTGTGGCCACGAAACGAGCCAGGATGCTGAGAGGGTATGCGAGATCTGGGCGAGTGCAAGTCATCAGGTACATGAGGCAACCCACTAGCTCAGCGTAAGGACCACTGGGATCTACCGACTCCTCAGGAACTGGAGCGGAGAGTCTGTGGTCCAGAGGAAGAGGGGTGGGCTGTGCGGAGGAGAACTGAAGGCCGAACCTCTGAAGGACCTGGCGCACCAAGTGTGACTGAGTCAGGGTGATGGTGCGCGCGGCTCTGTCCCTGGAGATCTGCAAGCCAAGGTAACGGCGCAGCTCTCCAAGGTCAGTGCACGTGTGTCTCTTCAGCAGCTCTGCCTTCACGGAGGCCAGTGCGTCCCTGTCAGCAGTGGCAAAGACCAGGTCGTCTACGTAGACGAGGATGTAGAACGGAGTCGAGCCAGCACGAACGAAGAGCGAGGGGTCTGCAGAGGACGGAAAGAACTGCAGGTCAGCAAGGGTAGCACGCAAAGTGTCGTGCCACTCACGAGGCGCCTGGCGCAGGCCGTAGACTGGCCGCCGCAGAAGCCACTGGGTCCCAGGGGGGAAGGTGCCAGTAAAGCCCTGAGGGCGACGCAGGTAGACCTGCTCGTGAAGGCTGCCCTGAAGAAGGCAGTGGAGAAGTCGAGGGAGTGAAGCTCGTAGTCACGCTGAGCCGCTACGTGTAGCAGCACCCGAAGAGTAGTCATCTTCGGGTAGGAGCGAAAGTCTGAAAGAAGTCCACCCCCTCGCGCTGACTGAAGCCTCTAGCCACGTAGCGCGCCTTGAACACAGGCGGCTCTCCAGGAGGGCGCTTCACCTTGAAGAGCCAACGGCCATCGACCACGTTCACCCCAGGTGGGGGAACTGCGTCGACGAAGGTGCCGGTGGATCTCCAAGATGCCATCTCCTGTTCCATGGCAGCTATCCACTGAGAGGCCCAGGGTCCCGAAGTCGCCTCAGCGTAAGTACGAGGGGTCGGGATGTCGAAAGCGTCTGGGTCACCCTCAGGGACTAGCAGCATGGAACAGAGATGGGGAGCAGCCTCGGACAGGAAAGCAAGCTCAAACTGGCGGTCCTCCAGGACGTCACTGCCGAGGGCAGGAGCACCCCCGACAGACGGAGGACAGGTAGGGTCAGAGACCAGAGCGGTGCGTAGTCAAGGCGGCGGGTAGAGGCGAAGTCAGCGACCCAGCGACGAGGGCGTCAAGACTCGACACTGGAACAGACGGGTCTGTAACCAGAGAGGCAAGGACCCGAGGAACAAGAGGACGAGCGGCACGAAAGTAGTCAGACAGAGGAGGAGACGCAACGACAAGAGAGGACGGAGGAGGAGACGGAGGAGGGGAGGACGAGACGCGTGGGACGGAGCAACATAGGGTGAGAGCGCGGGACGGGGAGACAGGATGAGCACGGAGGGGCGGCGAGACCAGACGTGAGAGGGAGGCGTCGGGTCAGGAGACAGAGGGGGGACACTGGTAGGGGAACGAGGGGGAAAACGCGCCGGGGACGAGT